CCTTGATAAATTTAAGGAGTTCAAAGCAATGGCAAAAAAGCAAAGTGGGCAATATCTAAAGTACTCGGATCCGATAGAAGAGGTGAGTACATCTCAAAGTTGTTTGAAGAGTTTTGCAAAGAAAATAGAATTATTCATCAGCTGACATCCTCATATACACCACAATAAAATGACATTGTAGAAAGAAAAAATCATACGATTCTTGATATGGCAAAGAGCATGGTGAAAGGAAAGCACTTACCAAGAACCTTTTATGCTCGAAGCCGTTCCATGTGTTGTTTATTTACTAAATCGATGTCCAAAAAAAGTATAAAATTCAAAATGCCAAATGAAGCATGGAGCGATAGCAAGCCTACGATTGGACATCTCGGAATTTTTGGATGCATTACATGTACCCATGTTCCTAACCGAAAAAAAGAAGTTAGATGATAAAGGTAAGAAGTGTATCTTTATTGGCTTTGAGAAAAGAAGTAAGGTATATAGATTATACAATCCTTCGACCAAGAAGGTGATCATCTCATGAGATGTTGAATTCAATGAAACCGATTACTTGGAAATGGAGTAAAGAAGACAAAGAAGTTAAATGACTATTTTTTAATGATGACAATGATGATGACTTCAACACACAAAATGAACGAGGTGATGATCGGACTCCTCCATAAAGTCCTACTTCAACAACTCCCGAATCAACACCAACAACATCATCAAGCAACAATAGTAGCAATAACAATTTAAGGGGAGCACTCGAAAAAATACGAAGCCTAAATGATATTTATGATTCCATAGAACCTGTGCGGACAATATTCAATTACTTATTATTTTATTTAATGATAGAGTATGATCCATTAATATACGAAGAGGCTACTAAAGAAGAGAAATGGAATAAGGCCATGAATGAAAAAAATTGCTATAATCAACGAAATAACACATGGGAAGTAACTAGTCTTCTAAGAGGACACAAGACGATAGGAGTCGAGTGGGTGTACAAGATAAAGACTAATCAAGAAGAAAAAGTGAAAAAAATACAAGATAAGATCGGTTGCCAAAGGCTATAAACGGACACAAGGAATTGCCTATAAGGAGGTGTTTACTCCAATTGTAAGAACCGATACTATTAGACTTCTCACAACGAGTCGTAGCATAAAATAAATGGAAGATTTATCAAATGGATGTGAAATCGGCATTCTTGAATGGATACCTAGAAGAAGAAGTTTATATCGAGCAACCACTAGGATATATTAAAAAAAGGACGAGAAAGATAAAGTTTATTGATCGAAGAAAGCCTTGTATGGATTAAAGCAAGTTTCGTGGGCTTGGAACACAAGAATAGATAAGTACTTCCAAAAGAATGATTTTGCAAAATGTTCGCATGAACATGCTTTATACACGAAAAAAATCAAGATGGTGATATCATAATTGTGTTCCTATATGTGGATGATATGATTTTTACGAAAAATAATCCAAATATGTTAAATGATTTTAAGAAAGCTATGACTAAAGAATTTGAAATGACGGATATTGGTGAAATGTCGTACTTTCTTAAAATCGAGGTTAAACAAATGGAAGATGGAATATTTATGTCACCGAAGAAGTATGCGGAACAAATTTTGAACAAGTTTAGAATGAAGGATTGTAAGCCAATAGCTACATCGAGCAAATGCAAGCATGAAGTTGAGACTATATTCGAACAGAGAGTTTGTAAACTTGAGACTATTCAAGAGTCTAGTTGAAAGTTTGAGGTACTTGACTTTCATGCATCCGGACATTATGTATGCGATTGGGCTAGTCGGTAGATATATGGAGAAGCCAAAGCAAGAACATTTTATTACAACAAAAGGAATTTTGAGATATGTCAAAGGTACAATAGATCATGATTTATTTAATACATATTTTTAAGATTCAAAGTTAATTGGTTACTCGGACGAGTGATTATGGTGGAGACTTAGATGATCGAAAAAACACTTCGGATATGCATTTCATATTGGATCAGCAATATTTTGAGATATGACTTTCACGCATCCGGACATTATTCAAAAGTCTAGTTGAAAGTTTGAGGTACTTGACTTTCATGCATCCGGACATTATGTACGCAATTGGGCTATTCGAGTAGATATATGAAGAAGCCAAAGCAAGAACATTTTATTGCAACAAAAAGAATTTTGAGATATGTCAAAGGTACAATAGATCATGATTTATTTTATACATATTCTTAAGATTCAAAGTTAATCGGTTACTCGGATAGTGATTGTGGTAGAGACTTGGATGATCAAAAAGCACTTCGGATATGCATTTCGTAATATATCGGTAATATTTTCGTGGTCATCAAAGAAGCAACAAACAATTGCTCTCTCGATATGTGAAACGAGTATATAGTCGTAATAGCATGAACGTGTCAAGCATTATGATTGAAGAATACTTTGAGGGAGTTATATTATGCATAAGAAGGTCCAACCATATTATATATCGATAATAAATCCGTTATATCACTTGTAAAAAATCCAATGTCATATAACCGAAGCAAACATATAGACATAAAATATCATTTTATTTAGGAACGAGTGAAAAACAAAAATATGGAGCTAATTCATTGCATAACAGAAGATCAACTTATAGATATTTTTGCAAAGCCTTTGAAGATCGATATATTCCACAAACTCAAAGGAAAGCTTGGAATGCGAAGTTGGGTTTGAGGAGGAGTGTTGGAATTCAAAACCTTTGCAATGAAGAAATAAATTACAAGCCATAAACAAATATACATGGGCGGCGATCAAAAGTGGCTGCCAATTAAAGAAAGCCATGAGTTGTACATGGAAGCCATACGTGATAGCTATATGGGCTAGAATTGAAATGCAAAGTCGTGAAGGATTGTGGTTGCCGACTTTGTGTAGCTGTCAAAGGTATCCGAAATTAAGAGGTGAAGTTTTTGTATAAATAGGTCCCGTATGCTCTAATATGAGCATGAAAAACTTGAGAGAAAAAAAAAGGGAAAAGTTAGAGGGAGCAACAGCTAGGGACTAGCAGTAGTTAGGGAAAGAGAGAACTAGAATTAAAACAATTAAGAGAAGAAATTTGTGGGTGTGATATTTATCTTGTTATCAATATATATATATATATATATATATATATATATATATCAATAAAATGTTGTTTGTTATACGGATAAATGACTAGTCAAAAACTAAATTACAACGAGAAAAGAGCAAGGAAATATGGCCTTTGGATTGTAACTGAGATGGGTTTTTGTTGAAAGTGGGCTGAGGAACTGAATGGGTCGTTTTCCGTTGGGCCAAAATTGGAAGTTTTTCAATGTTAATCTACTAAATAATGCTCGTATGGGCTGGGCTAACAACTGTTTATGGTGGGCCTAAAGCATTACATTCGGAAAAAGCTGGGATAATCAGAAGCGCAGAGGAAGGGAGACTAGGGATACCCATTTTATTATTTATTATTTATTATTTAATGAGAATAGTCTAATTAGGAAAAAAAAAATGAGAGTCCTAATTATATGTGGTATTATGCACAAGTCAGTTTAGGCAATAGCCTTTTTTCAGCCACCTCTACTGTATAAAGAAGGAAGAGTAATTGAATAAAGATATGGAATAATTTATACTAAAAAAATTTAGGAGAGTTCAAGAGATCTTTTAAGGCCAAACCGCCATTGTTACTGTAACAATAGGTTTTTCTAGGAAAAGCAAGAACCAAAACAAGGGAATAAGCAAGGATTTTCCTGTCCATCCACCCATGACATGATCCTTGTACTACTCTAAAAGGCATTCATGAAATCATTCTAGTCTTATAATTAATGCATTAAAGAAGCGAAAGAAAACGAAAAAAACTTTTATTTACTTCAACAATCTGCATATCATGTCTTTACGACAAAAAAGAAAGGGTTTGATATTCAGAATTTACCTATATCACCTGACCACTCTATTGTCTTACTGTTGAAGCCAATTCAAACATTAGGTGCTTGTAATTTTCCATGTCATAATTTGTCACTATTTTTGCGGAGAAAGGGATGTGTGATGACTCATGCAAGAAAGTGATGGTATTAGCTGCTATCCTTTAGGCAACAATGTCATTTGAATTATTGGTATGATTTGTTTCAGTGGTCCCTAATTCTAATCAAATTAATCAGAAACTTCCTTTCTTTGACAACTTCAACCATAAAGTTTACTCACTGCTTCTGCGGACTTAGGAGTATGTTGCAACTTATCTTTTTTAAAGACTTTTAAATCCTAGCAAGCAATTATGGTCTTTTGAGAAATTCCCATATAATGGGAAGTCCCTTCTCCAAATTGGATGGCTGCATTTTGATTTGAAGGCAAAACATTAGTGAGTTCTGTATCATATCTACTTTACTCGGTTTCCGACACTGCTACTGTTTGTTTGTTTGTTTTTTTTTTTTTTTTTTTGTACTTTTTGCTAGCTACAATAATTAAGCAGGCCATAGATTTTTTTCTTTTCTTTTTTTCTGGTGGAAAGAAACTGAAGGCAGATATAAGTCATGTCATCATACTGCGAGTCTTTGTTTGGTTGCGAAGACTTCATTAAAGGGCAGGGCCCATTGCAAAGACTTGATAAAGGGCAAATATTCAAGTCTTTCTTTGGTTGGAAATATTTATCCTATCCATGCCCTGGTCCCAAGTTTCGGTTGAACCCTACTAATTACTTGGTCTTTTTTCAATTTTCTAACTTTTTTTCATTGCAATTTACCATTTTAGTCGCTTTTTTCTCTATGTTCTCTGCATGTGCTATTGCTCCCTTAAATGGGCGAAGACTTTTGGAAGGTCGTAGTTGGGAATTGAGAAGTCTTCCTTTTTGAAGGTTTCTGTGAAATTTCTTTTCGCTAATATTAGCCTGGAAGCAAGAAAGTTGGTTCAAATAATAAATTTAGGTTCATTTAGCAAAGTTTTTCTTTGAATCAAAACTGTGAATTTCCAACCAGTTTTGTGCTTAAATATTTTCGTTTTTTATTCATAGTTACAAGTGTGTGAGCTCAAATGATTCTAGCTATAGCTTCTGCAATTTTTAACCCGAAATTCCTGGTAACAATCGTACTGTTAGAGTTTGTGGCTGCTGCTCAATCTAGTGGAAGTGTACCTGTGGGTGCATCTATCACTGCAACTGATAATGCTCCTTCATGGCCTTCTTCCTCTCGTGATTTTGCCTTTGGATTTCACCAACTGAAAGACAAGGATCATTTCTTGCTGTCCATTTGGTATGACAAGATCCCTGAGACGACCATAGTTTGGTATGCAAACGGAGATAATCCCGCACCTAGGGGATCTAAGGTCGAGCTGACCACTGATCTGGGGCTGGTGCTTACTGATCCTCAAGGCAACCAAATTTGGAACTCTGGTATCAAGCCAGGTGCAGTTTCGTCAGGTGTTATGAATGACACTGGAAACTTTGTGCTTCAAAATAGCAATTCTGACAGGTTGTGGGAAAGTTTCGACCATCCTTCTGATACATTGTTGCCTACTCAGATTATGGAGATTGAAGGGGTGCTCTCTTCTCGACGGTCGGAAACCAACTTTTCACTGGGCAGATTCCAGTTCCGTTTCGACGCTGGTGCTCTTGTGTTGAATTCCATAAATTTGCCAACCGGATTTGCTTACGATTCCTACTATAGAACACCTTCTGATGATTCAGATTCTTCCAATTCTGGTTATCGTTTGATCTTCAATGAGTCAGGCTACATGTACATGTCAAGAAGAAATGGGCAGAGATTCTCTCTCACAGATAGAGCAGTTCCGACTGCAGACTTCTATCATAGGGCAACTCTCAATTTTGATGGTGTTTTCACTCAATATTTTTACCCAAAAACATCTGGTAGTAACAGAAGCTGGTCCTCTGTCTGGTCGAAACCAGATAATATATGTGTCGATATTGGTGGAGGCTTGGGTAGTGGAGCCTGTGGATATAATAGCATCTGCAGCCTAAATGATGATAAAAGACCAGATTGTAATTGCCCAAAAAATTTTTCTTTACTTGATGAGAATGACAGGTATGGAAGCTGCATACCAGATTTCGAACTAAGCTGCAAAGATAGGCTCAATTCTACAGAAGATCAGTATGATTTTCAGGAGCTAATAAATATTGATTGGCCAACATCTGATTATGAGAGGTCCAAGCCTTCTGATGAAGATACCTGCAGAAAGTCTTGCTTGAATGATTGTCTATGTGCTGTTGCCATTTTTAGAGATGGCTGCTGGAAGAAGAAGTTACCGCTCTCTAATGGAAGATTTGATAGTCGTATGAATGGAAAGGCTTTGATCAAATTTCCGAAAGGCTATGTTCCTTGGGAAAGGCCTCCTCTCCAGCTTCCTGAAGAGAAAAAGAATCGAGATGTTAAGTTCATCACTGGATCTGTGCTCCTTGGTAGCTCTGTATTTGTCAACTTTGTATTCGTTGGTGCGTTCTGTCTTACTTCTTCCTTCATTTATCGCAAGAAAACCAAAAAAATTGAAGAAGGACGAGACGCTGTGGAGACAAACCTGCGTTGTTTTACATACGAAGAGCTCGCGGCAGCGACAAATGACTTCAAGGATGAGTTGGGAAGAGGAGGTTTTGGTGCTGTTTACAAGGGGACAATACCGGTAGGTTCTACTAATGTTGTTGCTGTCAAGAAGTTAAATAAAATGGTTCAAGATGGGGAAAAGGAATTTAAAACTGAAGTACGAGTGATTGGCCAGATACATCACAAGAATTTGGTCCGGTTGCTAGGATATTGTGATGAGGGGCAGAATCGGTTGCTGGTGTACGAGTTCTTGAGTAATGGCACTCTAGCAAACTTCCTTTTCGGAAGCTCTAAGCCTAATTGGATGCAAAGGACCCAAATTGCCTTTGGCATTGCAAGAGGACTCTTGTACTTGCATGAAGAATGCAGCACTCAAATCATTCACTGTGATATAAAGCCTCAGAATATACTTATTGACGATTATTACAATGCTCGAATATCTGATTTTGGACTGGCAAAACTTTTGATGGTGGATCAGAGCAAAACTGATACTTTCATTAGAGGAACGAAAGGATATGTTGCACCTGAATGGTTCAGGAACACACCAATCACAGCGAAGGTTGATGTCTACAGCTTCGGTGTCATGCTGCTAGAGATCATCTGTTGTCGAAGAAGTGTAGACCTGGAGATCGGCGAGAAAGCAGTGCTGACTGATTGGGCTTATGACTGCTATGCGAATGGAACTTTGGATGCTTTGCTTGAAGATGACATGGAGGCCATGAATGACATATCGACAGTTGAGAAGCTGTTGAAGGTTGCATTTTGGTGTATTCATGAGGAGCCATCTCGCAGACCCATCATGAGGAAGGTGACACAAATGCTTGAAGGAGTTGTTGAAGTGCTTGCTCCTCCAAATCCATTTCCATTTAGTACAATCAGCAATGATCTTTAATTCATTTAGATATGCTTTTTGTATAGTCTCTGCCACCATCAAATGTAGCTTTATAAATTGATGTGCTGTGTTAAATTTGAATGAGTTTCCAAGGAATCAGAATGTTGTGATGAATCCAACAACATTAAGTCACCATGTTCTTGTTTTCTCACTTTCTTGCTTCAGATATGCCCATGGAGGCTTAGCATGGTATTATTCTCTCTGCAGGGCAAGGGTAGGGGCTAGGTTTCAAGTTCCTGTCCAGTCTTTACTACAATAAGAATCAAAATAAAACTTCTTCACTGTAACAAGCGAAACATCAAACAGCAGTAGCTTACATTACATTAAGGTTGTTTCTGCTCTCCTTTTGCATAGTTAAGAAAGTAACAAACAGCACACAAAGCTGTGAAGAAGATGAGGTTGTTCCTTTGTTTACAAAGGGGTAATGCATATTATTAAAATTAACATTTAAAGAAAAACTAGAACATCCGGGAGGAAAATGAACAGTGAATGAACAGGGACTTTCATGGTTGATTTCATCAACGATTACTATGGATGGAAATGGCATTTATGCAATTTTGTGGATTGTTTTTGGGCATTAATTTACAAATTTTTCGTTACATTTTATTTTGGTACCTCATTTGGTCTTCTGGGCTACTTTTGCACACAGCCAGGAGAGCAGCTTGCATTGAGCCATCTGCAGGCCCATGCACTCAGGCTTGCTTGGGCCCTGTAGGCACGCAGGCTTGCCTCTCTTTTTTTCTTTGCATTTTTCTTTTTTTTTTTTTCATCAATTTATGTTTAGTTCTTTTTATTATTGAATTAATTTCACAAATTACAAAAAGAAAATTGCTAGTTTTATTTTTTCACACATAATTGTGATTATAAAATATATATGATATATTTTTAAATTTTGGAATAAACATATATATCGAATTATATTACTCTTATTGTTTAAAATGAATTTCTTTAATTTACCATTTCTTATAAAAATTATCATCAAATTAATTTTTAATTTTTTTATGTAAATTTATTTTTTAATAAATATGATTTATTTTATTTACATATTGATTTTTAAATTTATTTTTATTTGCTTATTCTTTATATAATCACATTTTATTAGAATTAATTTTATAGTTTTTTTTTATTGCATTTAATTAACTTTAATATATTTTTACAACTTAATTTTTTTGAAAAAAAAATTTTATGGTTTATTCTACATACTTATGATCATATATATATATATATAAGTTTATTGATTTTATTGAAAATTAAATATACATCCGCACACGTAACACCAATAATTTACTATTATTTTTTAAAATTTATATATCTCAAATAATATTTTTAAAGAACTGCCGAATAATTCAACTACAACTTTTTACACTAATATTATTGATTATTTTTAAACACACACACACACACACACACACACACACATATATATATAGAGAGAGAGAGTTAATCTTCTTATCAATATTAAACAAGAATAAAAAAGATTCTTTTATTATTTTTTTACATTAATTGTTGTTTATTTATTTGATGCAATAATATATATAAAAAAAATATTAAGCTTTTTTTTTTTTAATTTTATATTTAGATTATGGGTTTTTATTTAAGAAATAAAAAATCGTGTCTTTTAACTACAAAATTTATTAAAAACAAAAACAAAATAAAAAAAATTGGATTAAAAACTATAATATTTTATGAAATTTTATGTTTTGCTTTTAATTTAATATATTTTAGTTGAATGACAGTATAATACATACTATCAAACTAAAATAAATATGTTTAATTCGGTCACAGCAGTAGTATAGGAAGTCGACTAATAATTAACTAAAACAAAACAAAATTCATTATTCATTTATTGTTCACTCTCTCTAAAATCACTATCCATTTATTGTTTTTACAAAAAATTCACTTTGGGCCCTTTGTTTTTGAACAACGTTTTTTTCAATTCGAAATTTATTTTTTTGTTCGTTTTGGTCCTTGCATTATAAGTGTTGAATGATCATTTTATCCAAAAGCTTAAACTGTTAAATAAGGCCTCAAGATATAATTTATATTATTCTTTAACATACCATCTCAAATGAAAACCTTATGGGCTTGAAACTTGTACGAGGCTCATACTACCTTATGTTTAATTAATTAGAAGAGAAAGTGGAGATAATAAGATTCGAACTCGTGACCATTTGGTCATCAAGGCTCGATACTATGTCAAAGGGTCATCTTACCTAAAAGCTTAAGCTATTAAGTAAGACCCCAAAAAATGATTTATGTTATTCTCTAACAATAAGAGAGGAGAAAGAGATGACTAACGAGATCCATTCCATCCACCCTAATAGTAGATTTTACCACCACTTTGTTTGTCTCGAATAGTAGAATCCATTTATAGTGGTAGCAATCCATGAAATAGTAGGAAGAAGTAGATCGGAAGGTCGAAAATTTTAAAATTTGAATTTTGATTTGAATTTTTGTGTATTTTATGTGAATTAAAATGGATCTTGAGGTTCTAAACGAGTTTTTGATGTTATTTGAGTGATTTTGAGTTATTTTTGGACAAAATTGGGCTTGAATTTGGTTTTGAAAGGCTTGAAATAATAAAACCTGACTTTTCAAAAACTTTTTCAGTGAAATCAGTTGCGAAAAAATGCAGAAGTCACTGGGAATTAAGAGGAATTTTTTTTTCTCAAGCCTACGCGGGCTTGGTGCTCCAAGCTCAGGCGTGCTGGGCAAGTAATCGAAGCCCAGGCTTAGACGTGCAATCTTGGTGCTCTAGGCCCAGTCCATGGGCTTGGTCCTCTAAGCCCAGTCGTGCAGGCTTTCTCCTTTTTTTAAAAAAATTTTTTTTAAAATTTTTGGTTTTTTCTTTAATTATTTAATTAAGAATTTTCAGAGAGAACTTATGGAATATTGAGCATTGAAAAAAATAAAAAATATACATAATATTATTTTTATATTTTAAATTTAACATATATTGGAGATTATATTACTCTTATTATATAAAATTTATTCTTTGAATTTGTTATTTTTTATGAAAGTCTTCATCTAATTAATATTTTTTTAATAAAATTTTTTTTACTGATAAATATAATTTTTTTTCATATTTTAATTTTAAAATAAAATTTTAAAACAAAATTGTTTTTTTTAATAAATTGATATATATATATATATATATATATATATATATATATATATATAATTTTTAAATGATAGCTGCTTATATATAAATATATCATTATTTATAATCTAAAATGTTAAAAATATATTTTCTATAATTTATCATAATCCACCAAGTATGGTCAAAATGTATAAAAAATTTATCGAATAATTGATTTTATTAAAAATTAATTATACATCTTTATACATAACACCAATTATTTGCTATAAATATTTTTTTTAAAACATTGAAATTGGTGAGAATGATAGAGAAATTCTAACATACTAGGCTTATGATTGCTTTCTTGGAGATACGCTTGATGGTTTAGTTGTGGACGATCCAGACCAGAGTCATTAAGTGATAAGAAAAGGGTGGAGAGGTATGTGACGATTGCCCTTTGGTGCATTCAGGAAGACCGAAGTGTAAGAAAAGGGACAAAATAATAATAATAATAATAAAATCATTTTTTAAATCATTTTTTTGGAAAACAACGTGGTTTCAATTTAAAAAAAAAAAAAAAAACTCAAAACAAAGTCTTTTTGGTTCACTGTAGCATGACTTAACTATAGTGAAATTACTTATCTTTTTAGTATATTTATTGATAATAATTTCTACCCTAACCTTGAGAGGATGTAATGAAATTGACATGAGTTTTCTTTTCTTCTAAGGAGCCAACTAAAAAGTCTTTGCACCGAAAATAATCTAAGCAACATGAAGTTCCATACAACTTTTCCACAATCATCTCCAATTTGACACTTTCAAATTTGTGTGTAGGCATCTTGGAATTTGAATGGCACACTTTAGAAAGCAAATGGTTAGAGTCCTCGTCAAAAACTAAAATCTCTAAAGAAGTGGGGCACCCTCTAGGAAATGGCACATTTTTTAAATCATCATCAAAGTCCTCGGTCTTGACCATCTAGAATGGTTTCCCACATTTTCTAGCAATTGCAAAATCTTATGTGTGATCTCAATCAAGTTATATCACATTCTAATGTTTCAAAGAAAATTATCATTCCTGTGATGGCTTTTTTGCTACCATATTCTTCTTAGTCTTTTAATTATTCTCAAACAGGCACAACCATTTCCTGCCACTGCTGAATCTTACAAGAACGTATCTTTAGGCTTATCTCTCACTGCCTTAAACAACGATGATTCCTGGCAATCTCCATCCAGTGAATTTGCATTCGGTATCCAGCAGGTTGAAGATGATGGCTGCTTATTAGCAATCTGGTTCAACAAAATACCTGAAAAAACCATTGTTTGGTCAGCCAACAGAAATAGTATAATGCAAAGAGGGACTAAAGTTAAGCTCACGGAAGATGGCCGATTAGTGCTTAATGATCGAAAAGGCAAACAGATATGGTGTGCTGATACTACCGGTAGCAGGGTGGCTTATACAGCCATGCTTGACACCGAAAACTTTATGCTGGCAAGACACGATTCAGTCAATCTGTGGGAGAGCTTTGGAGAGCCAACTGATACTCTATTGCCTACACAAATTTTTAGCTGAGGGAGCAAGCCAGTTGCTGGATACTCCAGAATGAATCGCTCAACTGGAAAATTTCGATTCACTCTACAAGCTGATGGAAATCTTGTGCTTTACACCCTAACTTTCCCGTTAGATTTGGATAATTCTTCCTATTGGTCTGCACAAACTGAAGGCAATGGCTTTCAGTTAATCTTCAACCAGTCTGGAAACATTTACCTTGCAGCAAAAAATGGAATCATACTAAAAATGCTTTCATCAGAATCTCCAACAACTCAAGAATTTTACCACATTGCATTTCTTGAATACGATGGAGTTTTCAGACATTATGTCTACCCTAAGAGATCCAGTTCTAATTTCTCTGGTGGCCTCCTAAATGGTCTTCCTTGTCCACCTCCTTACCTCAAAACATCTACATGAGACTTACAGAAGATTCCGGTAGTGGAGCTTGCCGATTCAACAGCTACTGCAGTCTTGGAAATGACCAGAGACCAAATTGCAAGCGTCCACCAGGGTATAACTTCTTAGATCCGAATGATGTGATGAAGGGATGAAAGCAAAACTTTGTTTCGCAGAATTGTGAAGAAGCATCACAAGAAACAGAACTTTTCTACTTGGAACAGAAGGAAAATATTGACTGGCCACATTCTGATTCTGAACACTTTGAGATGGTAACTGAGGGTTGGTGCAGGAAGGCTTGCTTGAGTGATTGTTTTTGTGCTGTTGCAATTTTCAGAGATGGGAGTTGTTGGAAGAAGAAAATTCCTGGCATCTTCTAAGGAAGTAAAAATATGAAGCTTCCATATTTCTTTTCTAGTCTAAGAATAATTTGTTTCAGACTCCCATTAATTTATTCAATGAATCTCCTACGCGTTGATTTACACTAAAATAATTTCAAAGTCTTTTTGAGTAGTATTTGGGTTTTGTATATTCAAACCAGCAGAAGATTCAAAGCTAGTGGGATTTTCCACAAAGAAAAGTCAAAAAGAAAGAAATCTTTTTCTTCATTTTACATGTGGATGGAGGCACATTCTACCAACTGCAATACTCAGAATTAGTAGAGCAAAGGGTTTTTGCCTTAAGTCCTGCAATTTCTTAAAGAACACCATCTTCACACCATGGATTTTTCTCCACCGCATTCTTCTTGCTTCTTTCTTCTTCTGCTGCTGCCATTTTCCACTAATGGTCAGACATACAGAAAAATAACTTTGGGCTCATCTCTCACGGCTGCAAATGACAACTCTTCTTGGACTTCACCATCTGGGGATTTTGCTTTTGGATTCCAACAAATTGGCGATGATGGCTTCTTACTAGCCATATGGTTCAACAAAATACCTGAAAGAACCATAGTCTGGTCAGCGAATAGAAATGATCTAGTTCAGAGGGGATCAAGGGTACAACTTACCACAGATGGTCAGTTGACCCTAGATGACCAATCAGGCACACAATTATGGAGCACCCTTAATTCCGGTGGAAGTGGAGCTGCCTATGCAGCCATGCTTGACACAGGAAACTTTGTGCTAGCAAGCCAATCAGCTGCCAATTTGTGGCAGAGTTTTGATCAACCAACAGATACAATGCTGCCCACACAGACTCTGAGTCAAGGTCGTGAACTAATTGCTCCCTACCTAGAAAAGAATTATTCAGACGGAAGATACATGTTTGCTCTACAACCTGATGGGAACCTTTCCCTGTACACCACACGTTATCCATCTACTACCAATAATTTTGCCTATTGGTCCACCCAAGATTCTATTGGCAGTGGTTATCAGTTCATCTTTAACCAGTCTGGCTATATGTATCTAATAGCAAGAAATGGTACTATGATTAATCCTGTATTCTCTAAACCAGTTTCGATGCAAGATTTCTACCAGAGGGCAACCCTTGATTATGATGGAGTTTTTAGGCACTATTTCTACCCAAAGATTGCTGCTTCAAGCAGCAGAAACGGGGATATGGCCTGGACTACTTCGTCTTTCGTACCATCAAATATCTGCACGGCTATTCAAGGACAAGTAGGCAGTGGAGCATGTGGTTACAACAGCGTGTGCAGATTAGGAGAAGATCAAAGACCACGTTGCGAATGTCCTCCGGGTTACACTTTCGTGGATCCCAATGATTTGAGGAAGGGATGTAAGACAAACTTTGTTTCACAGGATTGTGACCAACCATCGCAAGGAACAGATGGCTTCGAGTTGGAGGTGATGCCTAACGCAAATTGGCCATTCAATGATTATGAATTTTTTGGTTCAGTGAGTGAGGATTGGTGCAGACAGGCTTGCTTGAGTGATTGCTATTGCGCTGTTGTTATTTTCAATCCTGCTGGACAGTGTTGGAAGAAGAGAATCCCTCTCTCGAATGGGATGATAGATCCAGGCCTCGGTGGAGCCAAAGCCCTGATAAAAGTAAGGAAAGGCAACTTCACTGCAGGTTCATGCGCAAAGAAGAATGATCGATCAACTTTGATCATAACAGGCTCAGTACTTTTAGGGAACTCCGTCTTTCTAAATGTGATCTCATTGCTAGGAATCTATGTGTTCTTTTCTCGAATGAACCGACAAAAAGCAAAAATGATCCCGCCACATAACGGCTTGCCCGATGTGAATCTGGTAAGTTTTACTTACAATGAGCTCGAAACAGCTACTGGAGGATTTAAGGAAGAATTGGGAAGTGGTGCTTCCGGAATTGTTTACAAAGGGCTTCTGGACAATGAAGATACACCCCTCGTTGCAGTAAAGAAGTTATATAAGATGATCAGAGAAGGGGAGCAAGAATTCAGGACAGAAGTGAAAGTTATTGGCAGAACAAATCACAAGAATTTGGTCCAACTTCTCGGATTTTGTGACGAAGGGCAACAGCGACTTTTGGTCTACGAATACATGAGCAATGGCTCCTTGTCAAACTACCTATTTGGAGATTCAAGGCCTAATTGGTACCAAAGAATGCAGATTGCCTGTGGTGTAGCAAGAGGTCTCCTTTACCTCCATGAAGAATGCAGCTCACAGATAATCCATTGTGATATCAAGCCTCAAAATATCCTTCTCGACGATTCTCTTAACGCAAGAATTTCTGATTTCGGACTAGCCAAGCTGTTGAAGACAGACCAAACTAAAACAATTACAGCAATCAGGGGGACCAAAGGGTATGTAGCTCCTGAATGGTTCAAGAACCTGCCAGTTACAACCAAAGTAGATATTTACAGTTTTGGCGTTTTATTGCTAGAGCTAGTGTGTTGCAGAAAGAAATTGGAGCTTGATGCAATGGAAGAAGATCAGATAGTTCTTGCAGACTGGGCATATGATTGCTTCAAAGAAGAAAAGTTAGACCTTTTAGTACTAGAAGATGAAGAAGCCATGGAAGACATGAAAAGGGTGGAGATTTTTGTGATGGTAGCAATTTGGTGCATCCAGGAGGATCCATCTTTAAGACCTGGAATGAAGAAAGTTTTACAGATGTTAGAAGGAGCTGTTCAAGTCCCTATTCCTCCGGACCCTGCATCATTTATCCGCTTTATCTAAATCCTTGTACACATATATCATATCCTTGAAGAATTTGAATTATACATTATTATTAAATAGGATCTCAGGCATATATTTAAGGACTTGTCCACCTCTTTGGTGCAATCCTGTTTACGTCAGCTTTCAATATTCTATCAATTATGGTACAATCAGCTTCTTGGAAGAAAATTAAAGTTTTTGTATTATATAGAAAACATCATGTTAATCACGCAACGGATTTGGTCGTATAATAGGGACTAGCAAAGACTATACAAGATAATGCAAACAAAAGTTTATATATATATATTCCATAATTTATTTTAAATATATCTGAGAAATATTTTTTATAAGAGTGTTTAATTTTAGTTAATGAGTATGTTATAAGAGTGTTTAATTTTAGTTAATGAGTATATAAAAAATAACCTTTAATTATGAAAAAAGATATTTTGAGTGAATAATAATTAATGAAAAAAATATATAAAGAAAACACACAAAAAAAAAAAAAAAAAAAGAGAGGCATGGTTGGGTTAGCACCAGGCCCATCTGTATGGCCTAGAGACAACCAGGCCCAAACAAAAAAAACATAGGGACTAATCAGCAATAAATATTTAATTAAGGGACTGGTTGGAATAAAATTATAAATCAAATGACTAAAGTATAAACATTTGGATAAATTGACCAAAAAATTTTTTTTTCTTTTTTTTTGAGAAATCAGCATCGTTTCAAGCAAAAAAAAAAAAAATCAAAACCACGTCAGTTTGTTTCACTGTAGCAAGGCTCAGTTACAGTGGAACCAGATATTATTTTAAATTATTTATAATGACTTGCTTAAAACCCAGTACCACATGATGCGTAAAATCCAAAGCATTTCAAGAATGGCAAAGTAATTTTCGTGCTTTTACATTATTGAATTTTATTCATATCAATCCCTCTATTCTATTTTGGTCCATTCTAGTCCTTTTATTTTAACTTTTGGGATTCGTGAATCCTTCCGTTTATCTTCTTGACGGAGCTCCGTTAGTTTGATCATATGCCAATGCCATTAGTTGATTTCTCATTAACCAATCAAATGTCACGTGGTATGAAAATAATTTAAGAAAATAAATGATTTTTTTATTTGTAATGAAAGTTGGAGAAAGGAAAAAGAAACCAAACCCCCAAGGTTTTTTTTTTCCACAAAACTTTTGAGTTTTTTTTTTAACTATTGGACTCTAATCCTGACAAATTACTGCACCAATTAATATTAAATCATTTTTTTCTCTCTTATTAGCAGTCTAATCCCTTTTTAATCAGATTATTAAATCAGTCCAACCAAATGTCTCTATACACAGACATATTTATGACTTGGGTCTAACTTTGAATTTGTCAAATACTTCGTAGCATGAATCTTATAATCTAGTGAAACACGGTGATCAGGAATGTTATTAGTAAACTTTAAGGTTGAAGTAGTTCAAAGGGAGGAAGTTTATGATGAATTTCATTAGCTAGTAATAGCAAACTTTCTAATAACATCTCTTTCTTGCATGGGTCAAGCACACATCCCTTTCTTTTGGAGTGAAGGGCAAATTACAAGCACTAAATGTTTGAATTTGGATTCTTCAGTTATCAATACAGGCGAATCTGAAAGACAAGATAGGTTGTTCCAGTAATTAGAAGTTGCTTCAGCATACGCGTCAACAGACACTGAGTCTTTAATTTCTTGGGACAATCTTAAGAAAACGCACTCTCCAATCTCCATATCAAACTGGTGTACGTATTTGGAGAAGTTTAATAAATTTTCCTAGAAAATCCTATCTAGTAAGATTTTGGGATACCTGCAGAAGATTCAGTGCTGATTGGAATTTTCCACAAAGAAAAATCATGAAGAAAGAAAGTCTTTGCCTTCATTTACTATGTGGATGGAGACACATTTCTGCCAACTGCAATGCTCAGAACATAAAAGAAAACGATAGACCAGGTCTAATTCTAAACCTTAACTAATTTGTTGGGCCGAAAATGAAGACTTGGATCGAAAACGTTAAGTTGGCATTGTAGAGCAATTTTTCTTAAACAGTACTAATCCAAAGCAGCACCGAATTTGTCAGAACATACAGAATTGTGCAAAGAAAATAAAAAGATGTCATTCATTCGGGTTGTTAAGACCAAGTAAAGCGACATCTCCGCATGCACACACACATTTGAGGGAAAGAGAGAGAGAGAGAGAGAGAGAGAAGAGAGAGAATAGGATATCAGTAAAGTGACATCTAATGAGTATCATATATATATATATATATATATATTGAAAATGAATTATGTATGTATAAACATAAAACTAATTATTTATTATTTATTTTTTTATGTTCTAAAATCAATATTTTTAAAATAAAATAATTAAAATATATATCATTAGTTTTGTAAGAAATTAATTATGTATCCGCACGTATAATATCAATTATTTGTTATTTATTTCTTTTTATTTTCTAAAATCAATATTTTTCAATAAAATAATTGAAATAATATTTTGAAATGACATTTTAATTTTCAAATATAACTTTTTATGCTAATATTATTGATTAGTTTGTTAATAAATATATATAAATCAAACGATTTTGCTCGATAAATAAATTTTATTTACATTAATTACGACAAGTAAGATTTTTATTCGCATTACATCATACGAATCATTGACTTTATATATATAACGGTTGTTTGATCGCAACATAGCATGAGTATCTAACTAGTAATTAACTAAAACAACTAAAGCAAAATGAAATTCAATGTTCATTAATTTATTGTTCACTCTCCCTAAAATCACTATCGATTTACTCGTTTATACAAAACTATTTATCACTTTGGGCCCTCTAGTTTTGAACAACATTTTTTTCAGTTCGAAATTTATTTTTTCGCTCGTTTTGATCCCAGTATAATAAGAGAGGAGAGAAGGGAGGAGAAAGAGACGACCAACGAGGCTCATTCCATCCACCCTAATATCGATTCAAAACTTTATTTTTTTGTCTTGAAGCGTAGAATTTGTTTATGGTGGTGACAAGCCATGAAATGGTAGGAAAAGGTAGATCGGAAGATTGAAATATTTTGAATTTTTTATTTTGATTTGAATTTTTGTATATTTTGTGTGAATTAAAATAGATTTTGAGGTTCTAAATGTGTTTTTGAAGTTATTTGAGTGATTTTGAGTTATTTTTGGACAAAATCGGGCTTAAATTTGGTTTTGGAAGCCTTGAAATAATAAAACCTAACTTTTCAAAAACTTTTTCAATGAAATCAGCTGCGAAAAAAATGCAAAAGTCATCAGGAATTAAGACGAATTTTTTTTTGCTCAAGCCTGCGAGTGCTTGGTGCTTTAGGCTCAGGCGTGCTGGGCTAGTGCTCCAGGCCCAGGCTTAGACGTGCAGTTCTGGTCCTCTAGGCCCAGTTGCGCAGGCTTTTCCCTTTTTATTTTATAATTTTTTTTAATCAAGAATTTTTGAACAAAACTTATGGAGCATCGAGCATTATATATATATATATATATATATATATTAAAAATTAATATATTTTTTAGATTATATTATTCTTATTATGTAAAATTTATTCTATGAATTTGTTATTTTTTAATGAAAGTCCTCATCTAATTAATTTTTTAATAAAAAATTTTTTACTGATAAATATATATATTTTTTCATATTTGAATTTTAGAATAAAATTTTTTAAAAAAATTATCTTCTTAAAAAAAATTGATATAATATAGATAATGTATTTTTAGAATTTTTAAATGATAACTTCTTATATATAAATATATCATTATTATAATCTAAAATGTTAAAAATGTAATTCATATAATTTGTCATAATCCACTAAGTATGGTCAAAACTTATAAAAAAAAATATTGAATCATCGATTTTATTAAAAATTAATTATATATCTTTACACATAACACCAACTATTTGCTATAAATATTTTTTAAAAAGCATTATAGAATAATTTTATTTGAAATAAAATAACTAAAATAGTTTTTTAAAAAAACTAACCAATTATTCAAATACAATTTTTTATGATAACATTGTTGATTACATATATATCAAATGCATATATTTTCAAAATATAATCAACTTGTCATCATTAAATAAGAGTAAAAATTTATTTTTTATTATTTAATTTTTATATAAGTCTATATGTTAATCATAATTTTTTTTTGAATACATTCTTATAAAAAATATATTTTTAGATATTTTTTTATAATTCTTGATTAGTATTTTAATTTAAATTATTACAAGTTATTATTTCAGAACCTATGCATAGAAAAGAATAAATTATGTTTTTTTAATCAGAAAATTTATAAAAAAATATAAAAAAATACAATTAAGTAAAAACATTATAATTATAAAATTTTAAAATGATTTTATTCTATTCAACCCGCAATAAAACATGAGTAATCAGCTAGTTAAAACTAAAAGATTTGGAGTGCTCATGTGAGCAATAATTCTCCTCTTGCAAAAATACTGTTTACCAAACACACATTTCGCTGTCCACTTTATTGTTCACCACACATTCATTTCTGCTGTTCACATATTTTTTGTTTCCATTTAAGAGGCATTTAAGAGGCGGCATTTGAGAAATGTTACACTCAGGTTCGAGATTTTGCCAGCATTTTTTGTTTCCATTCTCAACTTCATTTGCATTGCGAATTGGTCCTCGGATGAAGTTAGAAAAGAGGAGAAAAGAGAGACAAAGTCGTAGCGAGGCTCATTCCTGCCGCTATGAGCTATCATGGTTTCAATGTGTTCATCTTATCAGCATGAAAAGTAAGTTTAACTGATTCACAGTTCATATTCGTTTAATGAGGGGCAGAGGCAATCCCACCGCAGTTAAAAACAATATTGATACATGCAATTTCAAACACTTTTTTTCTATTTTCAACTTGCCTAGAGTGTTGATTAAGTTTTGGTGACTTGGAAATCTTGGTGGCAGCTTGGAATCTTCAATGTCTAATTGCCGAAAGTCTTGCTGGGCATTAATTAACAAGGAACCAGCCTCGCTCCTATATGTATTATCAAGTTTCTTGTTCATTTAGCTAAATCCATCCAATTGCATATTCCAAATTTCCAATTGTTGCGAGCAATGGACTCTAAATTTGCGTTTGCATTTCTGCTGTTCTACTTCCTCATGTCCTCTCATTCTGTCATATCTCAGACAAGTGGTAAAGTTAACATCGGCGAATCCCTTGTTACCATGGATCAGAATCTTTCTTGGCTTTCTCCTTCCAAAGATTTTGCATTTGGATTCCGCCAACTAAATGACAATGATGATTTCTTCTTGCTTGCCATATGGTATTACAAAATACCTGACGGAGACATAGTTTGTTATGCAAAGGGAGGAAACCCTGCACAGAGAGGATCGAAAGTTGAGCTAACTGCTGACCGTGGGCTAGTACTGAAAGATCCTCAAGGCACAGAGATATGGCAATCGAATTTCGGCACAGGTAGAGTCGCGTATGGTGTGATGAATGATACAGGCAACTTTGTGCTTGTCAATATAAACTCTGAATCTCCAGCATTATGGGAGAGCTTTAGCCATCCAACCGATACCTTGTTGCCTACTCAGGCAATGAAGATAGAAGGGATTCTTTCTTCTCGGAAATCAGTAACCAATTTCTCTCAAGGAAGATTCCAGTTCAGATTGCTCAGCGATGGAAATGCAGTTCTCAATCCAATAAACCTGCCCTCCAATTACACGTATGATGCATAATATATCAGTGGTACTTTTGATCCTAAAAATTCATCAAATTCTGGCGTCCAAGTGGTCTTAGACGAGTTAGGCAATTTGTACGTACTAAGAAGAAATGATGAAAGGTTCTATCTTACACCACAGGATATAGTTCCGGTGAAGGATTATGTTAAAAAATGCAGAAAAATATGACAGAAGCACACAGGAAAGAGAGAAGCAAAACAGAGCTGAAAAATGGAGCTCCTCTCGCACGTGCATTCTTTTCATTCAAATTTATAAATGTGTTGTACAGAGGTTATAGAGTTGGTAAACTAATCCTAACTTTAAGGAGGTTTGTCTTCACATTCAGTTCCTAAAAGTCAACTCCACCACAAAACAAAATTCTAGAACATTTTCTAAATAAAAAAATACAACAAAAGGTTACACAAAATTTGTTGACAGCTCTTGTGTCAACCTATTGTCAACACTCCTCCTTGGCACAAGAGCTGCTGCAAACGCCAAGGTGGAGCCTAATCATTTCAAATCTTCCTTTTGACAAACTCTTTGTGAAGATGTCCGCAAGTTGCTCCTCACCACCGCAATGGAGGAGCTTTACTTCTCCTTCATTTTGATAATCTCTTAATGAATGATACTTGATCTTGATAGGTTTTGTCCTTCCATGAAACATTAGATTCTTTGCAATGGCAATAGCTGAATTGTTGTCACAAAGAATCTCTGTAGGATTCCTTTGCTCTTGTTTCAAATCAACCAACATCTTTCTCAACCAAATTGCTTGATTGACGAGCATCGACAGCAAGCAATATACTCGCTTCTGCTGTTGATTAAGCAACAATTTTCTCGCTTTTGTGTAGACCAGGTGACCATGGCTGAACCAAGGGAAAAACATTGACTCGATGTGCTCTTCATATCATCTATTGAGCCCGCCCAATCACTATCGGTGAATCCCAGTAGCTTCAAGCTAGTAGACCTTCCGTACATCAAACCAAGATCAATTGTTCCTTTAACATATCTCAACACCCTCTTGGCGACTGATAGTGCACTTGTGTTAGAGAGTGTGAGAATCTTGAGAGCACATTTGTTGCAAACATTATATCGAGTCTAGTGATTGCCAAATAAGAAAGACAACCAACCAAGCTTCGTAAGCGATAGCATCAACTTTTTCAGCTACATCATCTTTACTTAACTTTTGTCCCCGCACCGGAGGTGTAGAGACCGGTTTGCACTTGGTCATTGCAAACCTTTTCAATAACTCTTTGGCATACTTATGCTGGAAAATAAAGATGCCATGTGAGACTTGAAGAACTTCAATTCCCGAAAAAATGACATTTTCCCAAGATCATTCATTTCAAAGATTTGCTTCATTTGATTCCTAAATTGATCAACAAAAATGATGTTGCTACCGGTAATAAGAAGATCATCAACATAGATGGAAATTATCAAGACATCATTACTTATCTCGCTTCACATACAAAGTTGCCTCATTGCAACTTCGCTAAATCCCAACTTCACCAAATACTCATCAATTTTGCTATACCAAGCCCGTGGAGCTCGCTTTAAGCCATAAAGAGCTTTCTTCAGCAAATATACTTTGTTTGAGGCTTGCTCAAGCTCAAAGCCTTCGGGTTGCTCTACATAAATCTCCTCCCGTAATTGACCATTCAAGAAAGTCGACTTCACATCTAACTGGAAAACACTCAGACCTTTATGAGTTGCTATGGCAAGAATTAGTTTGATGGTTTCAAACCTTGCCACTGGTGCAAAAGTTTCATTATAGTCAACTCCGGGCTCTTGTGAATACCCTTTCACCACCAGCCTTGCTTTATGCTTGCTCGATTGACCCATCGAATTGAGCTTGAGCTTAAAAACCCATTTTACACCAATTACATGCTTGTCGGATGGCCTATCAACAAGAACCCGAGTGCCATTCTTGTTTATCATCTTTAGTTCTTCTTCCATTGCGGCCTTCCACTCGGGAGACTCTACGACTTTTTGAACACTTCTTGGCTCAAACATAGCAATATTGCACCTTTCATGAATGTCCGCAAGTGTTCTTGTTCCTCCGATGACTTGGTTTTCATCATCCGAATCTTCTTCTTCAAACACAAGCACCTTGTTCTTGGGGCATATTTTCCCCAAGACCAATATGATTTGGAGAAGTAATATTGGACTTCTCCCAATCCTACGTTGCTAATTCATCAACCTTAATATCTCTTCTAACCACAATCTTTTGTGAGGCTATGTCAAAGACTCTGTAGGCTTTGGAGTTGCTGCTATAACCAATTAGGATCCCAACATCCGCCTTCTTCGCTAACTTGTCCCTTTTTGGATCGGGAACATGAGTATAACACACACTACCAAATATCCCGAGATGAAAAACGAAGGTTTAACTTCAAACCAAGCTTCAAATGGAGCCTTACCCTCAATTGCATTAGTTGGCAACTTGTTGAGCAAATACACAGAGGTATTGACGACTCTCCGCCTAAAAATGCTTGGGAACACCCTTCTCAAATAGCAAACACCTTGCCATATTCATCACATACACGTTCTTCCTCTCACAAACTCCATTCCGTCGTGGAGAGTATGGGACGGTAAGTCGGTGATGGATTCCGACTTTTGACGAAATTCTTCAAACCGATTTGATGTATATTCCGTCCCGTTATCGAACCTTAGAGTCTTGATTTGAAATCCAGATTGCTTCTCCACCATTGCTTTAAAATTTAAGAACATGCCAAACACTTCGACTTCGCTTCGAAAAATAAACCCAACACATTCTACTAAAGTCATCAATGAATAACAAGAAATATCTCGTCGCCTGCGAGTGAGGGTGTCCTCATGGGACCACACACATCGAATGAACCAACTCGGAGCTTTATGAAGCTCTCCAAACTTGATTTGCAGGGAATGGAAGCCTTGTTTGCTTCCCAAATTGACACACACCACATACTTCGAATTTTCACTCACAATAGGCATATCAATAACCAACTCATTCCTTTGTATTTGTTTTAGAGCAAGCATAATTAAAGTGGCCTAGCCTTTTGTGCCATAAAACAGACTCATCAACAACCGTAGTAAAGGCTTTTATTTCAAGCATTTTTCCATTGAATAGGAAAGCATCTCTTGTTCATTTTAACAGAGAGAAGCTTGGCTCCTTTAGGATAAAACACATCACAGGCTTTGTTTTTAAACACCAAAGAATAATCATTTTCAAGCAATTGACCCACACTTAGCAAGTTTTGATCTAAATTAGGAACTAGAAGAACTTCGGGAATTAGTCTAGTACTCGAAGATGTATCCACAAGTAATCACACCCTTGCCTATGATTTTCAAGCAAGTTCCATCGCCAATCTTAACCATTGAGGTGTAGTTCCTATCTAGGTCCTTGAACATGCCAGGATTTGGTGTCATATGATTTGTGCAAGCACTATCCAAGTAGCTAAACTCCAGGATTTGTGGTGACAAGCATAGCAAGTTGCAACAAACAACTTCTCCTCCTCGTTCTCGATGGACTTCGACAACTTGAGCTTAATGATTCCGTTGCTCGTTCGATTTATTTTTACATACCTTCTCAACATGACCAAACCGATGGCATGATCCGCATTGAACTCCCGGCTTGTACCAGCAATATTTCTCTCGTATGATTCCTCTTGCCGCAATGAGAGCAAGGAGGAAACTTCCTCCGTTTTCCTCTAGACTTGCTCGCTCCGAGTATCTTTCTTGTCTTTGTCACTTTTATCATTTTATTGCTTCTTCGAACCAGAACCGGAATGAGCCTTATCTTTGTTCCGAGCAAATAAAGCTCCTTCGAATGCTCCTCCCGCTCGATCGGCCTTCTATGTTCGGTAGCTTGCAATGAGTTAACAAGCTCCGACAAAGTAATGCTTGACAAATCCCTTAAATCTTCAAGAGATGAAATTTTGGCTTCAAACTTCTCGGGTAAGCTAACAAGTACCTTCTCCACAACCCTTTTATCCGGCAAGTCCTCTCCCATTAATCCGATTTGGTTCACCACCTTCATGAGTTTGTCGAAAATTCCTTGATCGACTCGAATCCTTCATTCTCAAGGATTCAAATTCTCTTCCGAGATTGAGAACTTGCATCCGCCTTGTTCTTTCACTACCACTAAACTCCTCCTCGAGTCTATCCCATGCATCTTTTCCAGCTTCACAAGTCATTATTCTTGTGAAAATTGTTTCAGTATACGCTGACTTGGATGCATGAAAGTGCCTTGTATTGTTTTGAAACCTCCTCACTGTATTGCTTGATTTGAGCTACGGTGGGATTTGCTCTCGAGGGCTCGGGGTTTCGCCGGTTCGGTGACCTCCCACAAATCATAGGCCTTCAAATAGGCTCTCATTTTTGCAGCCCAAATTTCATAATTTTCTCCCTGTGAAAACGAAGGAAGTGGAACCGTAAAATTGATGGAAGCCATCACTTGAAACTCACAAACTCTCGGGTCTTTTGGTGAAGGTTGCCTTTCCGGTTTTCTCTCAAGAAAAACTCTCACAACCCCTCAAAGATCAAGTGAATGCTCGATACCACTCGTTAAAAAATGCAAAAAAAATATGACGAAGCACACGGGAAAGAGAGAAGCAAAACAGAGCTGAAAAATAGAGCTCCTCCGCACGTGCATTCTTTTCATTCAAATTTATAAATGTGCTTGTACGGAGGTTATGGAGTTGGTAAACTAATCCTAACTTTAAGGAGGTTTGTCTTCACGTTCGGTTCCTAAAAGTCAGCTCCACCACAAAACAAAATTCTAGAACATTTTCTAAATAAAAAAATACAACAAAAGGTTACACAAAATTTGTTGACGACTCTTGTGTCAACCTACCGTCAACGATTATTATCACAAAGTAACCCTCAATTTTGATGGAGTCTTCACAATATCTCGAGCATCCAAAGAATTCCTCGAGTAACGAGACCCGGAGAGTCATTAAGACCATACCGGAAAAAATTTGTGTCTTGATCTCCAAAAAGTGGGGAGTGGGGTTTATGGCTTTAACAATATCTCGCAAACTCAAGAATGATCAAAGGCCAACTCGTGAATGCCCACCGGTTACTCATTACTCGACCCGGATGATAAATACGGAAGCCGCAAACCCGATTTCATTCGTAGCTGTGAAGAAGATGGGCGAGTCCTCGGGAAGATTTATACACTTCGAAGGACATGCCAAACACCGACCGGCCAACATCCGATTATGAGGTATTTAAGCCTTATAGTCCAGCAGATTGCGTAAAGTCTTGTCTGCAGGATTGTTTATGTGATGTGGTCGTGTCAAGAGAAGATAGGCTGTTGGAAGAAGAAGTTACCTCTCTCGAATGGGAGAGAAGATGGAGCGAGATACTAGTCCGGCTTTTCTTAAAGTAAGAAAAGTTAATGCCACATTGCACAACCCTCGTTTGCCTCCAAATGCAAAGAAGAACCGGGATAATTTGATCATTGTTGTATTAGTCCTCTTGGGTGGCTCAGTGATTGTCATCTTCTTATTGTCCGGTCTCTTATGTTTACGATCTTTCCTTTATCATAAGAAGCACACAAAAAACCACCAACAAGAAAGGTCCATGGGAATGAATTTGCGGTGTTTGACCTATGAAGAGCTCGAGGATGCTACAAATGGATTTAATGAAGAACTGGGAAGAGGATCTTTCGGCGTTGTGTATAAAGGTGTAATAGGAAGTGGTTCCACGAGTCCCTGTTGTTGTTGCGAGTCAAGAAGTTAGACAGATTAGTTAAAGACGGCAATGAGGAATTCGAAACCGAAGTCAAAGTGATTGGCCAAACACATCATAAGAATCTTGTTCGACTGCAAGGGTATTGTAATGAAGGACGGAACAGAGTTGCTTGGTTTATGAGTTCTTGAGCAATGGTAGTTTGGCAAGCTTACTTTTTGGAGACTTGAAACCCAATTGGCAACGAGAGGACCCAAATTGCCATGGGGATTGGGAAAGGCCTCTTGTACTTGCATGAAGAATGCAGCACCCAAATCATCCACTGCGACATAAAGCCACAAAACATACTTCTTGATGGCTCCTACAATGCTCGGATTTCCGACTTCGGATTAGCAAAGATTTTGATGCTCAATCAAACACATACAAAAACCAACATCGGAGGCACAAAAGGGTATGTTGCACCCGAATGGTTCGAGTCTAAGCCAATCACCGTAAAGGTTGATGTGTACAGTTTTGGAGTCATGCTCGCTCGAGATCATTTCTTGTCGAAGAAGTGTGGATATTGAAATTGGTGAGAATGATAGAGAAATTCTAACATACTGGGCTTACGATTGCTTTCTTGGAGGCACAATTGATGCTTTAGTCGAGGATGATCCAAAGGCCTTAAGTGATATGAAAAGGTCGGAGAGGTATGTGATGATTGCCCTTTGGTGCATTCAGAAGACCCTCTCTAAGGCCTACCATGAAAGAGGTTATGCTGATGCTTGAAGGAATTGTTCAAGTTACTCGTCCCACTATGTCCGTCTCCATTCAATAGCACGATAAGCTGAAAATTTTTATTTTTCGGACAACGACGAGTGTTCATTAGCGAGTTGACCAATAATAATCGAACTCGCGTATCCGTAATTTCAATCTGCACCTTTTTTCATAAAAAAATAGATGTTTGTATACTCGGTAGTTTTAAAAAGAGACTCAACAAGTTGTTGATAGATTCCAAAGAAATGCAAACCATAGATTCAACTAACGAATTGTTATATTATATAACGAGTGATAACGATTTCGAGGCACCTCTATTATCTTTATTCGATTTAAAATAACAGCAGTAATCATTATTTTATTATTGTAGTAAGTTACGATTAACGATCACCACAGTCATTTTTTCAATTGTATATACAACTTAAAACTATTTAATGGAACAGAAAAATAAAAACACATATATCACAAGGCACATTAATTTGCAACACTATATGGTTCAAATGTGAGCCAAACCTATTGATTATGCACGATCAACACATGCGCTGGATATTACTTGCATGGTGTGATCATGCCCTTTGGATTAAAGTTCAATAATTTTGCAAGTAATATTAGGAACTTAAGATTAAACTAGCATGTTACGGGCATGTCGCTACCAATAAATCTATTATATGATATGTTTAAATATTTTAAATAATTTTTTAAAAAAGGATGGATCGGACTCACATCGGGCCCACGTGGGTAGGCTGGAAACAAAATTCACTCATAAAAAAATATAGAAATCTTTTAGTATAAAACAAAACTTGAAAGACCGAAGTGTAAGAAAAGGGAAAAAATAATAATAATAATAAAATCATTTTTTGGAAAACAACGTGGTTTCAATTAAAAAAAAAAAAAAAAACTCAAAACAAAGCCTTTTTGGTTCACTGTAGCATGACTTAACTATAGTGAAATTACTTATCTTTTTAGTATAGTTATTGATAATAATCTCTACCCTAACCTTTAGAAGATGTAATGAAATTGAAATGAGTTTTCTTTTCTTCCAAGGATCTAACTACAAAGTCTTTCCACCGAAAATAATCTAAGCAACATGAAGTTCCATCCCTCCAAAACAACTTTTCCACAATCATCTCCAATTTGACACTTTCAAATTTGTGTTGATTCTTGACTAGACAGTAGGCATCTTGGAATTTGAATAGCACATCTTAGAAAGCAAATGGTTAGAGTCCTCGTCAAAAACTAAAATCTTTAAAGAAGTGGGGCACCCTCTAGGAAATAGCACTACCAAAAATTTGAAAAAATCTCTAAGTCTTGCAGCAAACGTAGGCCATAGATCTGTTGCATGATTAAAGATAATCTCAGTCCTATTTTCTTGACCAGGACTTGGATTCCAACGTTGTAGTGAAGTTATCCATTGACCAGAAACCTTCATCAGTTTTCCTTAGAAACGGCCGACACATGACTTTATTGGATCTCCTTGAGAGGAATCTAGGTGAATTCTTGTTCTATTCATTGATATACCATTAACTGTTCTTGAAATGGTAAAATGGGGCGGAATAGATGGAGAAGAGTGTTCAGTTTCTGCTAAGAAAAAATAATCATCAAAGTCCTCTGTCTTGATTATCTAGAATGTTTTGCCACATTTTCTAACAATTACAAAATCTTATGTGTGATCTCAATTAAGTTCTTATATCACCTTTTAATGTTTCAAAGAAAATTGTCTTTCCTGTGATGGCTTTTTTGCTACCATATTCTTCTTAGTCTTTTAATTATTTTCATACAGACACAACCATTTCCTGCCACTGCTGAATCTTACAAGAACGTATCTTTAGGCTTATCTCTCACTGCCTTAAACAACGATGATTCCTGGCAATCGCCATCTAGTGAATTTGCATTCGGTTTCCAGCAGGTTGAAGATGATGGCTTCTTATTAGCAATCTGGTTCAACAAAATACCTGAAAAAACCATTGTTTGGTCAGCCAACAGAAATAGTCTAATGCAAAGAGGGACTAAAGTTAAGCTCACGGAAGATGTCCGATTAGTGCTTAATGATCGAAAAGGCAAACAGATATGGTGTGCTGATACTGCCGGTAGCCATGCTTGACACCGGTAACTTTGTGTTGGCAAGACACGATTTCGTCAATCTGTGGGAGAGCTTTGGAGAGCCAACTGATACTCTATTGCCTACACAAATTTTCAGTCGAGGGAGCAAGCTAGTTGCTGGATACTCCAGAATGAATCTCTCAACTGGAAGATTTCGATTCACTCTACAAGCTGATGGAAATCTTGTGCTTTACACCCTAACTTTCCCGTTAGATTTGGATAATTCTTCCTATTGGTCTGCTCAAACTGAAGGCAATGGCTTTCAGTTAATCTTCAACCAGTCTGGAAACATTTACCTTGCAGCAAAAACATGGAAGCATACTAAAAATGCTTTCATCAGAATCTCCAACAACTCAAGAATTTTACCACATTGCAGTTCTTGAATACGAGGGAGTTTTCAGACATTATGTCTACCCTAAGAGATCCAGTTCTAATTTCTCTGGGTGGCCTCCTAAATGGTCTTCCTTGTCCACCTCCTTACCTCAAAACATCTACATGAGACTTACAGAAGATTCCGGTAGTGGAGCTTGCCGATTCAACAGCTACTGCAGTCTTGGAAATGACCAGAGACCAAATTGCAAGTGTCCACCAGGGTATAACTTCTTAGATCCGAATGATGTGATGAAGGGATGCAAGCAAAACTTTGTTTCGCAGAATTGTGAAGAAGCATCACAAGAAACAGAACTTTTCTCCTTGGAACAGAAGGAAAATATTGACTGGCCACATTCTGATTCTGAACACTTTGAGATGGTAACTGAGGGCTGGTGCAGGAAGGCTTGCTTGAGTGATTGTTTTTGTGCTGTTGCAATTTTCAGATATGGGAGTTGTTGGAAGAAGAAAATTCCTGGCATCTTCTGAGGAAGTAAAAATATGAAGCTTCTATATTTCTTTACTAGTCTAAGAATAATTTGTTTCAGACTCCCATTAATTTATTCAATGAATCTCCTACGCGTTGATTTACACTAAAATAATTTCAAAGTCTTTTTGAGTAGTATTTGGGTTTTGTATATTCAAACCAACGGAAGATTCAAAGCTAGTGGGATTTTCCACAAAGAAAAGTCAGAAAGAAAGAAATCTTTTTCTTCATTTAACATGCGGATGGAGGCACATTCTACCAACTGCAATACTCAGAATTAGTAGAGCAAAGGGTTTTTGCCTTAAGTCCTGCAATTTCTTAACGAACACCATCTTCACACCATGGATTTTTCTCTACCGCATTCTTTTTGCTTCTTTCTTCTTCTGCTGCTGCCATTTTCCACCGATGGTCAGACATACAGAAACATAACTTTGGGCTCATCTCTCACGGCTGCAAATGACAACTCTTCTTGGACTTCACCATCTGGGGATTTTGCTTTTGGATTCCAACAAATTGGCGATGATGGCTTTTTACTAGCCATATGGTTCAACAAAATACCTGAAAGATCCATAGTCTGGTCAGCGAATAGAAATGATCTAGTTCAGAGGGGATCAAGGGTACAACTTACCACAGATGGTCAGTTGGTCCTAGATGACCAATCAGGCACACAAATATGGAGCACCATTAATTCCGGTGGAATTGCAGCTGCCTATGCAGCCATGCTTGACACAGGAAACTTTGTGCTAGCAAGCCAATCAGCTGCCAATTTGTGGCAGAGTTTTGATGAACCAACAGATACAATGCTGCCCACACAGACTCTGAGTCAAGGTCGTGAACTAATTGCTCCCTACCTAGAAAAGAATTATTCAGATGGAAGATACATGTTTGCTCTACAACCTGATGGGAACCTTTCCCTGTACACCACACGTTATCCATCTACTGTCAGTAATTTTGCTTATTGGAGTACCCAAAGTTCTATAGCAAGAAATGGTACTGTGATTAATACTGTATTCTCTATACAAGTTTCGATGGAAGATTTCTACCAGAGGGCAACCCTTGACTATGATGGAGTTTTTAGGCACTATGTCTACCCAAAGACTGCTGCTTCAAGCAGCAGAAACGGGGATATGGCCTGGACTACTTCGTCTTTCGTACCATCAAATATCTGCACGGCCATTCAAGGACAAGTAGGCAGTGGAGCATGTGGTTACAACAGCGTGTGCAGATTAGGAGAAGATCAAAGACCACGTTGCGAATGTCCTCCTGGTTACACTTTCGTGGATCCCAATGATTTGAGGAAGGGATGTAAGACAAACTTTGTTTCACAGGATTGTGACCAACCATCGCAAGGAACAGATGGCTTCGAGTTGGAGGTGATGCCTAACGCAAATTGGCCATTCAATGATTATGAATTTTTTGGTTCAGTGAGTGAGGATTGGTGCAGACAGGCTTGCTTGAGTGATTGCTATTGCGCTGTTGTTATTTTCAATCCTGCTGGACAGTGTTGGAAGAAGAGAATCCCTCTCTCGAATGGGATGATAGATCCAGGCACTTAGTGGAACCAAAGCCCTGATAAAAGTAAGGAAAGGCAACTCCACTGCAGGTTCATGCGCAAAGAAGAATGATCGATCAACTTTGATCATAACAGGCTCAGTACTTTTAGGCAACTCCGTCTTTCTAAATGTGATCTCATTGCTAGGAATCTATGTGTTCTTTTCTCGAATGAACCGACAAAAAGCAAAAATGATCCTGCCACATAACGTCTTGCCTGATGTGAATCTGGTAAGTTTTACTTACAATGAGCTCGAAACAGCTACTGGAGGATTTAAGGTAGAATTGGGAAGTGGTGCTTCCGGAATTGTTTACAAAGGGCTTCTGGACAATGAAGATACACCCCTCGTTGCAGTAAAGAAGTTATATAAGATGGTCAGAGAAGGGGAGCGAGAATTCAGGACAGAAGTGAAAGTTATTGGCAGAACAAATCACAAGAATTTGGTCCAACTTCTCGGATTTTGTGACGAAGGGCAACAGCGACTTTTGGTCTACGAATACATGAGCAATGGCTCCTTGTCAAACTACCTATTTGGAGATTCAAGGCCTAATTGGTACCGAAGAATGCAGATTGCCTGTGGTGTAGCAAGAGGCCTCCTTTACCTCCATGAAGAATGCAGCTCCCAGATAATCCATTGTGATATCAAGCCTCAAAATATCCTTCTCGACGATTCTCTTAACGCAAGAATTTCTGATTTCGGACTAGCCAAGCTGTTGAAGACAGACCAAACTAAAACAATTACAGCAATCAGGGGGACCAAAGGGTATGTAGCTCCTGAATGGTTCAAGAACCTGCCAGTTACAACCAAAGTAGATATTTACAGTTTTGGCGTTTTATTGCTAGAGCTAGTGTGTTGCAGAAAGAAATTTGAGCTTGATGCAATGGAAGAAGATCAGATAGTTCTTGCAGACTGGGCATATGATTGCTTCAAAGAAGAAAAGTTAGACCTTTTAGTACTAGAAGATGAAGAAGCCATGGAAGACATGAGAAGAGTGGAGAGTTTTGTGATGATAGCAATTTGGTGCATCCAGGAGGATCCATCTTTAAGACCTGGAATGAAGAAAGTTTTACAGATGTTAGAAGGAGCTGTTCAAGTCCCTATTCCTCCGGACCCTGCATCATTTATCAGCTCAATCTAAATCCTCCTACAGATATACCATATCTAGTTGCTAAGGGGTATGATGATTTTTTTTAATAAAATTTTCTTCAATTTGTAGAATTTGAATTATACATTTTATCATTAAATAGGATCTCAGGCATATATTTAAGGACTTGTCCACCATCTTTGGTGCAATCCTGTTTACGTCACCTTTCAATCTTCTACTAGTTATGGTAAAATCAGCTTCTTGGAAGAAAATTAAAGTTTTTGTATTATATAGAAAACATCATGTTAATCACTCAACGGATTTGGTCGTATAATAGGGACTAGCAAAGACTATACAAGATAATGCAAACCCCATTTTTGGTGTCAAGAAGCAACATTTCACTATACCCTAAAAATACTAAATTATAATTTTATTCGTTTTGTCAATCGAATATGAATTTTAATTTTTTTTTTAATACATCAATATTTTTTAAACTGTCAATTAAGAACTTTTGTTTATTCAGGCCTGCAGAAGACTCAATGCTAGTTGGAAGTTTGCACTAATAAAAATCATAAAGAAAAAGGAAGTCTTTGCCTTCTTCATCATTCTATATGTGGATGGATAGAGACTCGGTTAATTTCTGGCAAGTGCAACACTCAGCATAAATAGAGAGAAGGTTTTTATGTTGGCCATAAAGTCCTGCAATTTCCAAAGAACAAAATCCTTACACTATGGATTTTTCACTACCATATATATATATATATTTTTTTTTTTCTCTCATTCTTCTTCTACTGCTGCCATTTTCCACCAATGGTCAGACTTACAAAAATATATCTTTGGGTTCTTCTCTCACTGCTGCAAATGATAACTCTTCTTGGACTTCACCATCAGGAGATTTTGCTTTTGGATTCCAACAAGTTGGAGATGCTGGCTTCCTACTAGCCATATGGTTCAACAAAATACCTGAAAGAACCATAGTTTGGTCAGCTAATAGAAATGATCTGCTTCAGATGGGATCAAGAGTACAACTTACCACAGATGGTTAGTTCGTCTTAAATGACCAATCAGGCAGACAAATATGGAGGGCTGATTCAGGTGGAAATGGAGTTGGCTATGCAGCCATGCTTGATACGGGAAACTTTGTGCCAGCAAGCCAAGCTGCTGTCAATTTGGGGCAGAGTTTTGATCGATCAACAGATACAATGTTGCCCACACAGAATCTGAGTATAGGTGGGGAACTAATTGCTCCCTACCTAGAAAAGAATTATTCAGATGGAAGATTCAAGTTTGTTCTACAACCTGATGGGAATCTCCTCCTGTACACCACAAATTATCCATCAACTATCAATAATTTTTCGTATTGGTCAACCCAAAGTTCCATAGGCAGTGGTTATCAGGTGATCTTTAATCAGTCTGGCTATATGTACCTTATATCAAATAATGGTTCTATAGTTAATTCTGTATTTTCTGATTCAGTATCAATACAAGATTTCTACCAGAGGGCAACCCTAGACTATGATGGAGTTTTCAGGCACTATGTCTATCCAAAGACTTCTGCTTCAAGTAGCAGAAACTGGACTATGGCCTGGAATACTTTGTCTTTCGTACCGATAAATATCTGCCTGAGTATAGAAGGAGATGGAGATGCTGGCAATGGAGGTTGTGGTTACAAGAGCTCTTGCAAATTAGGAGAGGATCGAAGACCAAGTTGCCAGTGTCCTTCTGGTCACACTTTCTTCAATCCAAATGATGAGAGGAAGAGATGTAGTAAGCAAAACTTTTTTGCACAGGATTGTGACCAACACAGATCGGCCCTGGATTGATTATGAATTTTTGGTGCCGTGGACGAGAATTGGTGCAGAAATGCTTGCTTGAGTGACTGTTATTGTGCTGTTGCCTATTTTAGAAACGGAAGCTGTTGGAAGAAGATTATCCCTCTCTCGAACAGGGGAATAGATAGAAGCAGTGGTGGAAAAGCCATGATAAAAGTAAGCAAAGGCAACTCCACTGCTGGTTCAAACTCAAAGAAGAAAGATCAATCAACTTTGATCACAGCAGGCTCGGTGCTTTTGGGTAGCTCCGTCTTTCTAAATGTTCTCTCACTGCTTGGGATCTATGTGTTATTTTTTGGATTGAACGAACAAAAACAAAAAATGATTCAGCAACCTAATGCCATGCAAGACATCATGAATCCGGTAAGTTTTACTTGCAACGAACTCAAAGCAGCAACAGAAGGATTCAAGGAAGAACTGGGCAGAGGTGCTTTTGGAACTGTTTACAAAGGGTTCTAGCCAATGAAATACAACCCTCATTGCAGTAAAGAAATTAGGACATGTAGCCGGAGAATGCGAGCAGGAATTCAAAGCAGAAGTAAGAGTAATTGGCAGAACAAATCACAAGAATTTGGTCCAACTTATTGGATTCTGTAATGAAGGGCAACATCGGCTTCTAGTCTACAAATACAAGAGCAATGGCTCCTCGGCAAAGTTTCTGTTTGGAGATTCAAGGCCTAACTGGCACCAAAGAACTCAAATTGCTTTTGGTGTGGCAAGAGGGCTCCTTTACCTCCATGAAGAATGCAGCTCACAGATAATCCATTGTGATATCAAGCCTCAGAATATCCTTCTCGACCAATGGCTTAATGCAAGAATTTCTGATTTCGGGCTAGCTAAGCTGTTGAAGACTGACCAAACTAAAACAACAACAGCAATCAGGGGAACCAAAGGGTATGTAGCTCCGGAATGGTTCAAGAACCTGCCTGTTACAACCAAAGTAGATATTTACAGCTTCGGCATTTTGTTGCTAGAGCTAGTTTGTTGTAGAAAGAACTTTGAGCTTGATGTAATGGAAGAAGATCAGATAGTTCTTGCAGACTGGGCATATGATTGTTTTAAAGAACGAAAGTTAGACCTTTTAGTGGAACAAGATGAAGCGGCATCGGAAGATATGGATAGAGTGGATAGGTTTGTGATGGTAGCAATTTGGTGCATTCAAGAGGATCCATCTTTAAGACCTGGAACAAAGGAAGTTGTACAGACGTTAGAAGGAGTCGTTCAAGTCCCTATTCCTCCTGATCCTGCGTCAATTATCAGCTCAATCTAAATCCTGAAGGCCTACGAATGTATTGCTTCACACATGGTCTAGAGCTTCAGGGTTCGGACTCCAAATTGTAACATAAACTTCCTCAAATCTTCCTGAACTTGTCCTATTTGAATTACACATTACAATTAGGAAATCAGCTTTGGAAGGAAAAAAAAAGTTATTGTATTATATATACTACAGAAAACATCATATTACTATGCACAACATGACCACAAGGCTTCAAAGTTCATACAATGTCATTTTCTTTTACTTTTCCATATTCAAGAGTACTAAGTTAAAAAAAAATAAAAATTGTTAATAACCAGATAAAGTGTTTAGTAACTCATTACTATTCCGTAATTTGATTTCAAAAGGTAATATTTTTGGAAGTTTAACTTGAAATATAAGTGAGATTGTTTTATATTATTATCTATAATTAAAACCTAGAGAATTTGGGGGGAAAATTCTGGTGAATATTCGAGTTTATATATACACTAGCATAATACCCGCACATTGTCATAGGTAAGTCTATATAATATATTTTTTATTATTTTAAATAATAAAAAAATTAGGAGTGAAATAAAAAATTAATTAACACTAACTTTGAGAATTTGCGTTAATTTAATATGTTTTATTCAATATTTTATTATATATTTATATTCCATAATTGAGTTTAAATATATCCTATAAATATTTTTTATTTTGATCAACAACAAAAAAGAAAAAAGAAAACATACAATTAATTTTTTTTAAAAAATCAAATTAGAACAATATGCTAATCAATTTACATTAGAAGAGTGTTTAATTTTAGTTAATGAGTCTATAAAAAAATAAAAATAAATAACCATTCATTTTTTTAATATTTTAAATAATTAAAAAATAAAAGCATAAAATAAAAATTAATTAGCACTAATTGTGAGAATTTAATATATATATTCCATAATTTATTTTAAATATATCTGAGAAATATTTTTTATGTTGATCAATAAAAAAAAGAAGAAGAAAACATGCAATTAATTAATTATTTTTTAAATGAATTTATATCATAAGAGTGTTTAATTTTAGTTAATGAGTATATAAAAAATAACCTTTAATTATGAAAAAAGATATTTTGAGTGAATAATAATTAATGAAAAAAAATATAGAGAAAGCACAAAAAAAAAAAAAAAAAAGAGGCATGGTTGGGTTAGCACCAGGCCCATCTGTATGGCCTAGAGACAACCAGGCTCAAACAAAAAAAACACAGGGACTAATCAGCAATAAATATTTAATTAAGGGACTGGTTGGAATAAAATTATAAATCAAATGACTAAAGTATAAACATTTGGATAAATTGACCAAAAAAATCACTTTTTTTTTTTTTTTTTTTGAGAAATCAGCATCGTTTCAAGCCAAGAAAAAAAAATCACAACCACGCAATTTTAGTTTACTGTAGCAAGGCTCGACTGCGACGAAACCATATATTGTTTAAATTATTTATAATGACTTGCTTAAAACCCAATAACACATGATGCGTAAAATCCAAAGCATTTCAAGAATAAAAAAACAATTTTCGTGTTTTTACATTACTGAATTTTAGTCATATCAATCCCTCTACTCAATTTTGTTCCATATTAGTCTTTTTATTTTAACTTTTAGGATTTGTTAATCCTTCCATTTATCTTCTTGACGGAGCTCCGTTAGTTTTTTTTTTTTTTTTGGCACAAAACTTTGATTTCATATACTAATTATTTCTAATCCCTTTTTAATCAGATTATTAAATCAGTCTAACTTTGAATTTCTCAAATACTTAGTAGCATGAATCTTATAATCTAGTAAAACACGGTGATCAGGAATGTTATTAGTAAACTTTAAGGTTGAAGTAGTTCAAAGGGAGGAAGTTTCTGATGAATTTCATTAGCTAGTAATAGCAAACATTCTAATAACATCTCTTCCTTGCATGGGTCAAGCACACATCCCTTTCTTTTGGAGTGAAGGGCAAATTACAAGCACTAAATATTTGAATTTGGATTCTTCAGTTATCAATACAGGTGAATCTGAAAGACAACATAGGTTGTTCCAGTAATTAGAAGTTGCTTCAGCATACGCGTCAACAGACACTGAGTCTTTAATTTCTTGGGGCAATCTTAAGAAAACCCACTCTCCAATCTCCATATCAAACTGGTGTACGTATTTGGAGAAGTTTAATAAATTTTCCTAGAAAATCCTATCCAGTAAGATTTTGGGATACCTGCAGAAGATTCAGTGCTAACTGGAATTTTCCACAAAGAAAAATCATGAAGAAAGAAAGTCTTTGCCTTCGTTTACTACGTGGATGGAGACGCATTTCTGCCAACTGCAATGCTCAGAACATAAAGGAAAACGATAGACCAGGTCTAATTCTAAACCTTAACTAATTTGTTGGACCGAAAATGAAGACTTGGAATCTTCAATGTCTAATTGCCCAAAGTATTGCTCGGCATTAATTAACAAGGAACCAGCCTCGCTATTATATATATTATCAAGTTTCCTGTTCATTTAACTAAATCCATCCAATTGCATATTCCAAATTTCCAATTGTTGCGAGCAATGGACTCTAAATTTGCGTTTGCATTTCTGCTGTTCTACTTCCTCATGTCCTCTCATTCTGTCATATCTCAGACAAGTGGTAAAGTTAACATCGGCGAATCCCTTGTTGCCATGGATCAGAATCTTTCTTGGCTTTCTCCTTCCAAAGATTTTGCATTTGGATTCCGCCAACTAAATGACAATGATGATTTCTTCTTGCTTGCCATATGGTATTACAAAATACCTGACGGAGACATAGTTTGGTATGCAAAGGGAGGAAACCCTGCACAGAGAGGATCGAAGGTTGAGCTAACTGCTGACCGTGGGCTAGTACTGAAAGATCCTCAAGGCACAGAGATATGGCAATCGGATTTCGGCACAGGTAGAGTCGCGTATGGTGTGATGAATGATACAGGCAACTTTGTGCTTGTCAATATAAACTCTGAATCTCCAGCATTATGGGAGAGCTTTAGCCATCCAACCGACACCTTGTTGCCTACTCAGGCAATGAAGATAGAAGGGATTCTTTCTTCTAGGAAATCAGCAACCAACTTCTCTCAAGGAAGATTCCAGTTCAGATTGCTCAGAGATGGAAATGCAGTTCTCAATGCAATAAACCTGCCCTCCAATTACACATATGATGCATACTATATCAGTGGTACTTTTGATCCTGAAAATTCATCAAATTCTGGTGTCCAAGTGGTCTTAGGCGAGTCAGGCAACTTGTACGTACTAAGAAGAAACGATGAAAGGTTCTATCTTACACCACAGGATATAGCTCCGGTGAAGGATTATTATCACAAAGCAACCCTCAATTTTGATGGAGTCTTCACAATATCTCAGCATCCAAAGAATTCCTCGAGTAACGAGACCTGGAGAGTCATTAAGACCATACCAGAAAACATTTGTTTCTTGATCTTTGGAAAAGAGGGGAGTGGGGTTTGTGGCTTTAACAATGTCTGCAAACTCAAGAATGATCAAAGGCCAACCTGTGAATGCCCACCCAGTTACTCATTACTCGACCCAGATGATAAATACGGAAGCTGCAAACCTGATTTCATTCAGGGCTGTGAAGAAGATGGGCAGAGTCCTCAGGAAGATTTATACACTTTGAAGGACATGCCAAACACTGACTGGCCAACATCTGATTATGAGATATTTAAGCCTTATAGTCCAGCAGACTGCAGAGAGTCTTGTCTGCAGGATTGTTTATGTGCTGTGGCTGTGTCAAGAGGAGATGGCTGTTGGAAGAAGAGGTTACCTCTCTCGAATGGGAGAGAAGATAGAGCAGTTACTAGTCTGGCTTTTCTTAAAGTAAGAAAAGCTAATGCCACATTGCACAACCCTCGTTTGCCTCCAAATGCAGAGAAGAACCAAGATAATTTGATCGTTGTTGTATCAGTCTTCTTGGGTGGCTCAGTGATTGTCATCTTCTTATTGTCTGGTCTCTTATGTTTAGGATCTTTCCTCTATCACAAGAAGCACACAGAAAACCACCAACAAGAAAGGTCCATGGGAATGAATTTGCGGTGTTTGACCTATGAAGAGCTCGAGGATGCTACAAATGGATTTAATGAAGAACTGGGAAGAGGATCTTTCGGCGTTGTATATAAAGGTGTAATAGGAACTGGTTCCACAGTCCCTGTTGCTGTTGCAGTCAAGAAGTTAGACAGATTAGTTGAAGACGGCAATGAGGAATTCGAAACTGAAGTCAAAGTGATTGGCCAAACACATCATAAGAATCTTGTTCGACTGCAAGGGTATTGTAATGAAGGACGGAACAGGTTGCTGGTTTATGAGTTCTTGAGCAATGGTAGTTTGGCAAGCTTACTCTTTGGAGACTTGAAACCAAGTTGGCAACAGAGGACCCAAATTGCCATGGGGATTGGGAAAGGCCTCTTGTACTTGCATGAAGAATGCAGCACCCAAATCATCCACTGCGACATAAAGCCACAAAACATACTTCTTGATGGCTCCTACAATGCTCGGATTTCCGACTTCGGATTAGCAAAGATTTTGATGCTCAATCAAACACATACAAAAACCAACATCAGAGGCACAAAAGGGTATGTTGCACCTGAATGGTTCAGGTCTATGCCAATCACCGTAAAGGTTGATGTGTACAGTTTTGGAGTCATGCTGCTCGAGATCATTTCTTGTCGAAGAAGTGTTGATATTGAAATTGGTGAGAATGACAGAGAAATTCTAACATACTGGGCTTACGATTGCTTTCTCGGAGGCAAAATTGATGCTTTAGTTGAGGACGATCCAGAGGCCTTAAGTGATATGAAAAGGCTAGAGAGGTATGTGATGATTGCCCTTTGGTGCATTCAGGAAGACCCCTCTCTGAGGCCTACCATGAAAAAGGTTATGCTGATGCTTGAAGGAATTGTTCAAGTTACCGTCCCACCATGTCCGTGTCCATTCAATAGCACGATAAGCTAAAAATTTTTGTTTTTCAGACAACATCAGTGTTCTTTAGCAGTTGACCAATAATAATCGGACTGCATATATGTAATTTCAATCTGCACCTTTTTTGCATCAAAACTAGATGTCAGAGTACTCAATAGTTTTAAAAAGAGACTCAACAAGCTATTGATAGATTCCAAAAAAATACGAACTATAGATTCAACTAATAACTGTTATGTCATGTAACAGTTGATAACGATTTCGAAACACCTCTATTATCTTTATTCGGTTTAAAATAACAACAGTGATTATTATTTTTTATTGTAGTAAGTTATGATCAACGATCGCCATTATCGTTTTTTCAACCGTATAGATGACTTAAAACTATAATGCAAAACTATTTAATGGAACAAAAAAATACAAGCACATAGATCACAGGGCACATTAATTTGCAACCCTATTGATGGTTCAAATGTGAGCCAAACCTATTGATTATGCACAGTCAACACATGGGCCGGATAGTACTTGCATGGTGTGATCGTGCCCTTTGGATTCAAGTTCAATAATTTTTCAAATAATATTAGGAACTTAAGATTAAACTAGCATATTACGGGCATGTTGCTACCAATAAATCTATTATATAATATGTTTTAATATTTTAAATAATTTTTTTAAAAAAGGATGGACTGAACTCACACCGGGCCCACGTGACTAGGCTAGAAACAAAACTCGATCATAAAAAAATATAGAAACCTTCTAGTAATAATAGTTATAGTTAGAAACTCTTTTGTATAAAACAAAATTAACTTGAAAGACCGAAGTGTAAGAAAAGGGCCAAAATAATTATTAAAAAAAATCATTTTTTGGAAAACAACGTGGTTTCAATAAAAAGAAAAAAAAAACAAAAAACAAAGCCCTTTTAGTTTACTGCATCATGACTTAAAACAAAGCCTTTTTGGTTCACTGTAATGAAATTGACATGAGTTTTCTTTTCTTCCAAGGATCTAACTACAAAGTCTTTCCACCGAAAATAATCTAAGCAACATGAAGTTCCATCCCTCCAAAACAACTTTTCCACAATCATCTCCAATTTGACGCTTTCAAATTTGTGTTGATTCTTGACTAGACAGTAGGCATCTTGGAATTTGAATAGCACATCTTAGAAAGCAAATGGTTAGAGTCCTCGTCAAAAACTAAAATCTTTAAAGAAGTGGGGCACCCTCTAGGAAATAGCACTACCAAAAATTTGAAAAAATCTCTAAGTCTTGCAGCAAACGTAGGCCATAGATCTGTTGCATGATTAAAGATAATCTCAGTCCTATTTTCTTGACCAGGACTTGGATTCCAACGTTGTAGTGAAGTTATCCATTGACCAGAAACCTTCATCAGTTTTCCTTAGAAACGGCCGACACATGACTTTACTGGATCTCCTTGAGAGGAATCTAGGTGAATTCTTGTTCTATTCATTGATATACCATTAACTGTTCTTGAAATTGTAAAATGGGGCAGAATAGATGGAGAAGAGTGTTCAGTTTCTGCTAAGAAAAAATAATCATCAAATTCCTCTGTCTTGACTATCTAGAATGTCTTGCCACATTTTCTAACAATTACAAAATCTTACGTGTGATCTCAATTAAGTTCTTATATCACCTTTTAATGTTTCAAAGAAAATTGTCTTTCCTGTGATGGCTATCCTGCTACCATATTCTTCTTGTCTTTTAATTATTTTCATACAGACACAACCATTTCCTGCCACTGCTGAATCTTACAAGAACGTATCTTTAGGCTTATCTCTCACTGCCTTAAACAACGATGATTCCTGGCAATCGCCATCTAGTGAATTTGCATTCGGTTTCCAGCAGGTTGAAGATGATGGCTTCTTATTAGCAATCTGGTTCAACAAAATACCTGAAAAAACCATTGTTTGGTCAGCCAACAGAAATAGTCTAATGCAAAGAGGGACTAAAGTTAAGCTCACGGAAGATGGCCGATTAGTGCTTAATGATCGAAAAGGCAAACAGATATGGTGTGCTGATACTGCCGGTAGCCATGCTTGACACCGGTAACTTTGTGCTGGCAAGACACGATTTCGTCAATCTGTGGGAGAGCTTTGGAGAGCCAACTGATACTCTATTGCCTACACAAATTTTCAGTCGAGGGAGCAAGCTAGTTGCTGGATACTCCAGAATGAATCGCTCAACTGGAAGATTTCGATTCACTCTACAAGCTGATGGAAATCTTGTGCTTTACACCCTAACTTTCCCGTTAGATTTGGATAATTCTTCCTATTGGTCTGCTCAAACTGAAGGCAATGGCTTTCAGTTAATCTTCAACCAGTCTGGAAACATTTACCTTGCAGCAAAAACATGGAAGCATACTAAAAATGCTTTCATCAGAATCTCCAACAACTCAAGAATTTTACCACATTGCAGTTCTTGAATACGAGGGAGTTTTCAGACATTATGTCTACCCTAAGAGATCCAGTTCTAATTTCTCTGGGTGGCCTCCTAAATGGTCTTCCTTGTCCACCTCCTTACCTCAAAACATCTACATGAGACTTACAGAAGATTCCGGTAGTGGAGCTTGCCGATTCAACAGCTACTGCAGTCTTGGAAATGACCAGAGACCAAATTGCAAGTGTCCACCAGGGTATAACTTCTTAGATCCGAATGATGTGATGAAGGGATGCAAGCAAAACTTTGTTTCGCAGAATTGTGAAGAAGCATCACAAGAAACAGAACTTTTCTCCTTGGAACAGAAGGAAAATATTGACTGGCCACATTCTGATTCTGAACACTTTGAGATGGTAACTGAGGGCTGGTGCAGGAAGGCTTGCTTGAGTGATTGTTTTTGTGCTGTTGCAATTTTCAGATATGGGAGGTGTTGGAAGAAGAAAATTCCTGGCATCTTCTGAGGAAGTAAAAATATGAAGCTTCTATATTTCTTTTCTAGTCTAAGAATAATTTGTTTCAGACTCCCATTAATTTATTCAATGAATCTCCTACGCGTTGATTTACACTAAAATAATTTCAAAGTCTTTTTGAGTAGTATTTGGGTTTTGTATATTCAAACCAACGGAAGATTCAAAGCTAGTGGGATTTTCCACAAAGAAAAGTCAGAAAGAAAGAAATCTTTTTCTTCATTTAACATGCGGATGGAGGCACATTCTACCAACTGCAATACTCAGAATTAGTAGAGCAAAGGGTTTTTGCCTTAAGTCCTGCAATTTCTTAACGAACACCATCTTCACACCATGGATTTTTCTCTACCGCATTCTTTTTGCTTCTTTCTTCTTCTGCTGCTGCCATTTTCCACCGATGGTCAGACATACAGAAACATAACTTTGGGCTCATCTCTCACGGCTGCAAATGACAACTCTTCTTGGACTTCACCATCTGGGGACTTTGCTTTTGGATTCCAACAAATTGGCGATGATGGCTTTTTACTAGCCATATGGTTCAACAAAATACCTGAAAGAACCATAGTCTGGTCAGCGAATAGAAATGATCTAGTTCAGAGGGGATCAAGGGTACAACTTACTACAGATGGTCAGTTGGTCCTAGATGACCAATCAGGCACACAAATATGGAGCACCATTAATTCCGGTGGAATTGCAGCTTCCTATGCAGCCATGCTTGACACAGGAAACTTTGTGCTAGCAAGCCAATCAGCTGCCAATTTGTGGCAGAGTTTTGAAGAACCAACAGATACAATGCTGCCCACACAGACTCTGAGTCAAGGTCGTGAACTAATTGCTCCCTACCTAGAAAAGAATTATTCAGATGGAAGATACATGTTTGCTCTACAACCTGATGGGAACCTTTCCCTGTACACCACACGTTATCCATCTACTGTCAGTAATTTTGCTTATTGGAGTACCCAAAGTTCTATAGCAAGAAATGGTACTGTGATTAATACTGTATTCTCTATACAAGTTTCGATGCAAGGTTTCTACCAGAGGGCAACCCTTGACTATGATGGAGTTTTTAGGCACTATGTCTACCCAAAGACTGCTGCTTCAAGCAGCAGAAACGGGGATATGGCCTGGACTACTTCGTCTTTCGTACCATCAAATATCTGCACGGCCATTCAAGGACAAGTAGGCAGTGGAGCATGTGGTTACAACAGCGTGTGCAGATTAGGAGAAGATCAAAGACCACGTTGCGAATGTCCTCCAGGTTACACTTTCGTGGATCCCAATGATTTGAGGAAGGGATGTAAGACAAACTTTGTTTCACAGGATTGTGACCAACCATCGCAAGGAACAGATGGCTTCGAGTTGGAGGTGATGCCTAACGCAAATTGGCCATTCAATGATTATGAATTTTTTGGTTCAGTGAGTGAGGATTGGTGCAGACAGGCTTGCTTGAGTGATTGCTATTGCGCTGTTGTTATTTTCAATCCTGCTGGACAGTGTTGGAAGAAGAGAATCCCTCTCTCGAATGGGATGATAGATCCAGACACTTATGGAACCAAAGCCCTGATAAAAGTAAGGAAAGGCAACTCCACTGCAGGTTCATGCGCAAAGAAGAATGATCGATCAACTTTGATCATAACAGGCTCAGTACTTTTAGGCAACTCCGTCTTTCTAAATGTGATCTCATTGCTAGGAATCTATGTGTTCTTTTCTCGAATGAACCGACAAAAAGCAAAAATGATCCTGCCACATAACGTCTTGCCCGATGTGAATCTGGTAAGTTTTACTTACAATGAGCTCGAAACAGCTACTGGAGGATTTAAGGAAGAATTGGGAAGTGGTGCTTCCGGAATTGTTTACAAAGGGCTTCTGGACAATGAAGATACACCCCTCGTTGCAGTAAAGAAGTTATATAAGATGATCAGAGAAGGGGAGCAAGAATTCAGGACAGAAGTGAAAGTTATTGGCAGAACAAATCACAAGAATTTGGTCCAACTTCTCGGATTTTGTGAAGAAGGGCAACAGCGACTTTTGGTCTACGAATACATGAGCAATGGCTCCTTGTCAAACTACCTATTTGGAGATTCAAGGCCTAATTGGTACCAAAGAATGCAGATTGCCTGTGGTGTAGCAAGAGGTCTCCTTTACCTCCATGAAGAATGCAGCTCACAGATAATCCATTGTGATATCAAGCCTCAAAATATCCTTCTCGACGATTCTCTTAACGCAAGAATTTCTGATTTCGGACTAGCCAAGCTGTTGAAGACAGACCAAACTAAAACAATTACAGCAATCAGGGGGACCAAAGGGTACGTAGCTCCTGAATGGTTCAAGAAACTGCCAGTTACAACCAAAGTAGATATTTACAGCTTTGGCATTCTGTTGCTAGAGCTAGTGTGTTGCAGAAAGAAATTTGAGCTTGATGCAATGGAAGAAGATCAGATAGTTCTTGCAGACTGGGCATATGATTGCTTCAAAGAAGAAAAGTTAGACCTTTTAGTACTAGAAGATGAAGAAGCCATGGAAGACATGAGAAGAGTGGAGAGTTTTGTGATGATAGCAATTTGGTGTATTCAGGAGGATCCATCTTTAAGACCTGGAATGAAGAAAGTTTTACAGATGTTAGAAGAAGCTGTTCAAGTCCCTATTCCTCCGGACCCTGCATCATTTATCAGCTCAATCTAAATCCTCGTACAGATATATCATATCTAGTTGCTAAGGGGTATGATGATTTTTTTTAATAAAATTTTCTTCAATTTGTAGAATTTGAATTATACATTTTATCATTAAATAGGATCTCAGGCATATATTTAAGGACTTGTCCACCATCTTTGGTGCAATCCTGTTTACGTCACCTTTCAATCTTCTACTAGTTATGGTAAAATCAGCTTCTTGGAAGAAAATTAAAGTTTTTGTATTATATAGAAAACATCATGTTAATCACTCAACGGATTTGGTCGTATAATAGGGACTAGCAAAGACTATACAAGATAATGCAAACCCCATTTTTGGTGTCAAGAAGCAACATTTCACTATACCCTAAAAATACTAAATTATAATTTTATTCGTTTTGTCAATCGAATATGAATTTTAATTTTTTTTTTTAATACATCAATATTTTTTAAACTGTCAATTAAGAACTTTTGTTTATTCAGGCCTGCAGAAGACTCAATGCTAGTTGGAAGTTTGCACTAATAAAAATCATAAAGAAAAAGGAAGTCTTTGCCTTCTTCATCATTCTATATGTGGATGGATAGAGACTCGGTTAATTTCTGGCAAGTGCAACACTCAGCATAAATAGAGAGAAGGTTTTTATGTTGGCCATAAAGTCCTGCAATTTCCAAAGAACAAAATCCTTACACTATGGATTTTTCACTACCATATATATATATATATTTTTTTTTCTCTCATTCTTCTTCTACTGCTGCCATTTTCCACCAATGGTCAGACTTACAAAAATATATCTTTGGGTTCTTCTCTCACTGCTGCAAATGATAACTCTTCTTGGACTTCACCATCAGGAGATTTTGCTTTTGGATTCCAACAAGTTGGAGATGCTGGCTTCCTACTAGCCATATGGTTCAACAAAATACCTGAAAGAACCATAGTTTGGTCAGCTAATAGAAATGATCTGCTTCAGATGGGATCAAGAGTACAACTTACCACAGATGGTTAGTTCGTCTTAAATGACCAATCAGGCAGACAAATATGGAGGGCTGATTCAGGTGGAAATGGAGTTGGCTATGCAGCCATGCTTGATACGGGAAACTTTGTGCCAGCAAGCCAAGCTGCTGTCAATTTGGGGCAGAGTTTTGATCGATCAACAGATACAATGTTGCCCACACAGAATCTGAGTATAGGTGGGGAACTAATTGCTCCCTACCTAGAAAAGAATTATTCAGATGGAAGATTCAAGTTTGTTCTACAACCTGATGGGAATCTCCTCCTGTACACCACAAATTATCCATCAACTATCAATAATTTTTCGTATTGGTCAACCCAAAGTTCCATAGGCAGTGGTTATCAGGTGATCTTTAATCAGTCTGGCTATATGTACCTTATATCAAATAATGGTTCTATAGTTAATTCTGTATTTTCTGATTCAGTATCAATACAAGATTTCTACCAGAGGGCAACCCTAGACTATGATGGAGTTTTCAGGCACTATGTCTATCCAAAGACTTCTGCTTCAAGTAGCAGAAACTGGACTATGGCCTGGAATACTTTGTCTTTCGTACCGATAAATATCTGCCTGAGTATAGAAGGAGATGGAGATGCTGGCAATGGAGGTTGTGGTTACAAGAGCTCTTGCAAATTAGGAGAGGATCGAAGACCAAGTTGCCAGTGTCCTTCTGGTCACACTTTCTTCAATCCAAATGATGAGAGGAAGAGATGTAGTAAGCAAAACTTTTTTTGCACAGGATTGTGACCAACACAGATCGGCCCTGGATTGATTATGAATTTTTGGTGCCGTGGACGAGAATTGGTGCAGAAATGCTTGCTTGAGTGACTGTTATTGTGCTGTTGCCTATTTTAGAAACGGAAGCTGTTGGAAGAAGATTATCCCTCTCTCGAACAGGGGAATAGATAGAAGCAGTGGTGGAAAAGCCATGATAAAAGTAAGCAAAGGCAACTCCACTGCTGGTTCAAACTCAAAGAAGAAAGATCAATCAACTTTGATCACAGCAGGCTCGGTGCTTTTGGGTAGCTCCGTCTTTCTAAATGTTCTCTCACTGCTTGGGATCTATGTGTTATTTTTTGGATTGAACGAACAAAAACAAAAAATGATTCAGCAACCTAATGCCATGCAAGACATCATGAATCCGGTAAGTTTTACTTGCAACGAACTCAAAGCAGCAACAGAAGGATTCAAGGAAGAACTGGGCAGAGGTGCTTTTGGAACTGTTTACAAAGGGTTCTAGCCAATGAAATACAACCCTCATTGCAGTAAAGAAATTAGGACATGTAGCCGGAGAATGCGAGCAGGAATTCAAAGCAGAAGTAAGAGTAATTGGCAGAACAAATCACAAGAATTTGGTCCAACTTATTGGATTCTATAATGAAGGGCAACATCGGCTTCTAGTCTACAAATACAAGAGCAATGGCTCCTCGGCAAAGTTTCTGTTTGGAGATTCAAGGCCTAACTGGCACCAAAGAACTCAAATTGCTTTTGGTGTGGCAAGAGGGCTCCTTTACCTCCATGAAGAATGCAGCTCACAGATAATCCATTGTGATATCAAGCCTCAGAATATCCTTCTCGACCAATGGCTTAATGCAAGAATTTCTGATTTCGGGCTAGCCAAGCTGTTGAAGACTGACCAAACTAAAACAACAACAGCAATCAGGGGAACCAAAGGGTATGTAGCTCCGGAATGGTTCAAGAACCTGCCTGTTACAACCAAAGTAGATATTTACAGCTTCGGCATTTTGTTGCTAGAGCTAGTTTGTTGTAGAAAGAACTTTGAGCTTGATGTAATGGAAGAAGATCAGATAGTTCTTGCAGACTGGGCATATGATTGTTTTAAAGAACGAAAGTTAGACCTTTTAGTGGAACAAGATGAAGCGGCATCGGAAGATATGGATAGAGTGGATAGGTTTGTGATGGTAGCAATTTGGTGCATTCAAGAGGATCCATCTTTAAGACCTGGAACAAAGGAAGTTGTACAGACGTTAGAAGGAGTCGTTCAAGTCCCTATTCCTCCTGATCCTGCGTCAATTATCAGCTCAATCTAAATCCTGAAGGCCTACGAATGTATTACTTCACACATGGTCTAGAGCTTCAGGGTTCGGACTCCAAATTGTAACATAAACTTCCTCAAATCTTCCTGAACTTGTCCTATTTGAATTACACATTACAATTAGGAAATCAGCTTTGGAAGGAAAAAAAAAGTTATTGTATTATATATACTACAGAAAACATCATATTACTATGCACAACATGACCACAAGGCTTCAAAGTTCATACAATGTCATTTTCTTTTACTTTTCCATATTCAAGAGTACTAAGTTAAAAAAAAATAAAAATTGTTAATAACCAGATAAAGTGTTTAGTAACTCATTAATATTCCGTAATTTGATTTCAAAAGGTAATATTTTTGGAAGTTTAACTTGAAATATAAGTGAGATTGTTTTATATTATTATCTATAATTAAAACCTAGAGAATTTGGGGGGAAAATTCTGGTGAATATTCGAGTTTATATATACACTAGCATAATACCCGCACATTGTCATAGGTAAGTCTATATAATATATTTTTTATTATTTTAAATAATAAAAAAATTAGGAGTGAAATAAAAAATTAATTAACACTAACTTTGAGAATTTGTGTTAATTTAATATGTTTTATTCAATATTTTATTATATATTATATTCCATAATTGAGTTTAAATATATCCTATAAATATTTTTTATTTTGATCAACAACAAAAAAGAAAAAAGAAAACATACAATTAATTTTTTTTAAAAAATCAAATTAGAACAATATGCTAATCAATTTACATTAGAAGAGTGTTTAATTTTAGTTAATGAGTCTATAAAAAAATAAAAATAAATAACCATTCATTTTTTTAATATTTTAAATAATTAAAAAATAAAAGCATAAAATAAAAATTAATTAGCACTAATTGTGAGAATTTAATATATATATTCCATAATTTATTTTAAATATATCTGAGAAATATTTTTTATGTTGATCAATAAAAAAAAGAAGAAGAAAACATGCAATTAATTAATTATTTTTTAAATGAATTTATATCATAAGAGTGTTTAATTTTAGTTAATGAGTATATAAAAAATAACCTTTAATTATGAAAAAAGATATTTTGAGTGAATAATAATTAATGAAAAAAAATATAGAGAAAGCACAAAAAAAAAAAAAAAAAAGAGGCATGGTTGGGTTAGCACCAGGCCCATCTGTATGGCCTAGAGACAACCAGGCTCAAACAAAAAAAACACAGGGACTAATCAGCAATAAATATTTAATTAAGGGACTGGTTGGAATAAAATTATAAATCAAATGACTAAAGTATAAACATTTGGATAAATTGACCAAAAAAATCACTTTTTTTTTTTTTTTTTTGAGAAATCAGCATCGTTTCAAGCCAAGAAAAAAAAATCACAACCACGCAATTTTAGTTTACTGTAGCAAGGCTCGACTGCGACGAAACCATATATTGTTTAAATTATTTATAATGACTTGCTTAAAACCCAATAACACATGATGCGTAAAATCCAAAGCATTTCAAGAATAAAAAAACAATTTTCGTGTTTTTACATTACTGAATTTTAGTCATATCAATCCCTCTACTCAATTTTGTTCCATATTAGTCTTTTTATTTTAACTTTTAGGATTTGTTAATCCTTCCATTTATCTTCTTGACGGAGCTCCGTTAGTTTTTTTTTTTTTTTTGGCACAAAACTTTGATTTCATATACTAATTATTTCTAATCCCTTTTTAATCAGATTATTAAATCAGTCTAACTTTGAATTTCTCAAATACTTAGTAGCATGAATCTTATAATCTAGTAAAACACGGTGATCAGGAATGTTATTAGTAAACTTTAAGGTTGAAGTAGTTCAAAGGGAGGAAGTTTCTGATGAATTTCATTAGCTAGTAATAGCAAACATTCTAATAACATCTCTTCCTTGCATGGGTCAAGCACACATCCCTTTCTTTTGGAGTGAAGGGCAAATTACAAGCACTAAATATTTGAATTTGGATTCTTCAGTTATCAATACAGGTGAATCTGAAAGACAACATAGGTTGTTCCAGTAATTAGAAGTTGCTTCAGCATACGCGTCAACAGACACTGAGTCTTTAATTTCTTGGGGCAATCTTAAGAAAACCCACTCTCCAATCTCCATATCAAACTGGTGTACGTATTTGGAGAAGTTTAATAAATTTTCCTAGAAAATCCTATCCAGTAAGATTTTGGGATACCTGCAGAAGATTCAGTGCTAACTGGAATTTTCCACAAAGAAAAATCATGAAGAAAGAAAGTCTTTGCCTTCGTTTACTACGTGGATGGAGACGCATTTCTGCCAACTGCAATGCTCAGAACATAAAGGAAAACGATAGACCAGGTCTAATTCTAAACCTTAACTAATTTGTTGGACCGAAAATGAAGACTTGGAATCTTCAATGTCTAATTGCCCAAAGTATTGCTCGGCATTAATTAACAAGGAACCAGCCTCGCTATTATATATATTATCAAGTTTCCTGTTCATTTAACTAAATCCATCCAATTGCATATTCCAAATTTCCAATTGTTGCGAGCAATGGACTCTAAATTTGCGTTTGCATTTCTGCTGTTCTACTTCCTCATGTCCTCTCATTCTGTCATATCTCAGACAAGTGGTAAAGTTAACATCGGCGAATCCCTTGTTGCCATGGATCAGAATCTTTCTTGGCTTTCTCCTTCCAAAGATTTTGCATTTGGATTCCGCCAACTAAATGACAATGATGATTTCTTCTTGCTTGCCATATGGTATTACAAAATACCTGACGGAGACATAGTTTGGTATGCAAAGGGAGGAAACCCTGCACAGAGAGGATCGAAGGTTGAGCTAACTGCTGACCGTGGGCTAGTACTGAAAGATCCTCAAGGCACAGAGATATGGCAATCGGATTTCGGCACAGGTAGAGTCGCGTATGGTGTGATGAATGATACAGGCAACTTTGTGCTTGTCAATATAAACTCTGAATCTCCAGCATTATGGGAGAGCTTTAGCCATCCAACCGACACCTTGTTGCCTACTCAGGCAATGAAGATAGAAGGGATTCTTTCTTCTAGGAAATCAGCAACCAACTTCTCTCAAGGAAGATTCCAGTTCAGATTGCTCAGAGATGGAAATGCAGTTCTCAATGCAATAAACCTGCCCTCCAATTACACATATGATGCATACTATATCAGTGGTACTTTTGATCCTGAAAATTCATCAAATTCTGGTGTCCAAGTGGTCTTAGGCGAGTCAGGCAACTTGTACGTACTAAGAAGAAACGATGAAAGGTTCTATCTTACACCACAGGATATAGCTCCGGTGAAGGATTATTATCACAAAGCAACCCTCAATTTTGATGGAGTCTTCACAATATCTCAGCATCCAAAGAATTCCTCGAGTAACGAGACCTGGAGAGTCATTAAGACCATACCAGAAAACATTTGTTTCTTGATCTTTGGAAAAGAGGGGAGTGGGGTTTGTGGCTTTAACAATGTCTGCAAACTCAAGAATGATCAAAGGCCAACCTGTGAATGCCCACCCAGTTACTCATTACTCGACCCAGATGATAAATACGGAAGCTGCAAACCTGATTTCATTCAGGGCTGTGAAGAAGATGGGCAGAGTCCTCAGGAAGATTTATACACTTTGAAGGACATGCCAAACACTGACTGGCCAACATCTGATTATGAGATATTTAAGCCTTATAGTCCAGCAGACTGCAGAGAGTCTTGTCTGCAGGATTGTTTATGTGCTGTGGCTGTGTCAAGAGGAGATGGCTGTTGGAAGAAGAGGTTACCTCTCTCGAATGGGAGAGAAGATAGAGCAGTTACTAGTCTGGCTTTTCTTAAAGTAAGAAAAGCTAATGCCACATTGCACAACCCTCGTTTGCCTCCAAATGCAGAGAAGAACCAAGATAATTTGATCGTTGTTGTATCAGTCTTCTTGGGTGGCTCAGTGATTGTCATCTTCTTATTGTCTGGTCTCTTATGTTTAGGATCTTTCCTCTATCACAAGAAGCACACAGAAAACCACCAACAAGAAAGGTCCATGGGAATGAATTTGCGGTGTTTGACCTATGAAGAGCTCGAGGATGCTACAAATGGATTTAATGAAGAACTGGGAAGAGGATCTTTCGGCGTTGTATATAAAGGTGTAATAGGAACTGGTTCCACAGTCCCTGTTGCTGTTGCAGTCAAGAAGTTAGACAGATTAGTTGAAGACGGCAATGAGGAATTCGAAACTGAAGTCAAAGTGATTGGCCAAACACATCATAAGAATCTTGTTCGACTGCAAGGGTATTGTAATGAAGGACGGAACAGGTTGCTGGTTTATGAGTTCTTGAGCAATGGTAGTTTGGCAAGCTTACTCTTTGGAGACTTGAAACCAAGTTGGCAACAGAGGACCCAAATTGCCATGGGGATTGGGAAAGGCCTCTTGTACTTGCATGAAGAATGCAGCACCCAAATCATCCACTGCGACATAAAGCCACAAAACATACTTCTTGATGGCTCCTACAATGCTCGGATTTCCGACTTCGGATTAGCAAAGATTTTGATGCTCAATCAAACACATACAAAAACCAACATCAGAGGCACAAAAGGGTATGTTGCACCTGAATGGTTCAGGTCTATGCCAATCACCGTAAAGGTTGATGTGTACAGTTTTGGAGTCATGCTGCTCGAGATCATTTCTTGTCGAAGAAGTGTTGATATTGAAATTGGTGAGAATGACAGAGAAATTCTAACATACTGGGCTTACGATTGCTTTCTCGGAGGCAAAATTGATGCTTTAGTTGAGGACGATCCAGAGGCCTTAAGTGATATGAAAAGGCTAGAGAGGTATGTGATGATTGCCCTTTGGTGCATTCAGGAAGACCCCTCTCTGAGGCCTACCATGAAAAAGGTTATGCTGATGCTTGAAGGAATTGTTCAAGTTACCGTCCCACCATGTCCGTGTCCATTCAATAGCACGATAAGCTAAAAATTTTTGTTTTTCAGACAACATCAGTGTT